ACTAAGTAAAGTTGCACCTCTTTCAATAGAGTGATGATGCTATGCTCAATAGAGCTATGTTGGTCATGAGTGTGATGACGAGTTGAGAAAATGATGAATGTTAATATTAGTAAAATAGGTATGTAATTTTTTATACTCACCACTCTAATTACGTGGAACAATTTTAATTTTAGTTGAAAATTGCATTCGACTAATTTTTAAAACTAAAAAAAAATGTCTTAAAAACATCTAATTTATTCAAAACATGATAAAAATCAAATAAACTTAGGGAAGTCATTAGTAAAAATGAAAAATAACGAAATATATTGAATGAAATCATTGAGACCGACCACTATACATTTATTTTCCAATCTAGCATATGTGGGGAGAAATTATTACATGACAATCTAGTATCCTGCACCATATCAATTAAATTATTACAAATAATTATTTAATGTAATCGAAGGATTAATATTTGATTGATTTTTTTTTAATATTTTAAAAAGTCAATTGAATTGTAAAAAAAAGTCACATCATTACTATGATATTTTAATAAATATAAATAAAGAAAGACTTGAAATTTTGATGAGAATTTAGAAAGATAATTGATACAATCGACTTTTAAAAAAAAAATTGAGAAACTTCTTAAATTTGAAATTGAGGAATTAAAATTTTAGCCCGTAATAAAACCCATTCTAATTATTGCACCAAATATAGGTCGTGGGGTCATTTACGTTAACCAAAACTTACTGGCTAACAAATTTTTATCGGGTAACAAAAAGCAAAATCAAGGGGGACAATTAAATGCATGTTTGAAACTAAAAGGAAAAAATATATAAAGTATTACATATAATACTTTAATAGAGGTGGGGTTTTGACTATTCACATATATATATTTTTTCAATTGCAACTCTCTTTTTCTTCCAAGTCCCACAACTTCCCCATGTACTTTTTCACGGATCTCGCATTACAACCTCACCCCGCACAGACCTCCCCTAATGCCGGTAGCCATCCCTTACTACTGTCACAGCCTAACCTCACACCATATCCTACAACAAAAAATCTTACACCATCATGGTGGAAAACCGAGCACCCAACAACCACCCCTATTACGCCACATCTAACCTCACACCATATCCAAGCAACAAAACATCTAACACCATCATGGTAGAGAATCGACACAATTGCATATATAAACAATAGCAAAAAATATAAACGAGAGGAGTTAGTTAGTCAATGAGGAAATGATTTTCGAAATTGACGATAACTAAAAAAGATAAGAAAAATTGAAACGAAAAAAAGAAGAGAAAGACTGAATTTACTTAAAGCGAAGTTGCAATCCATATCATCTTTAATCAATTCTACTAGATGATTTTCTTAATTTTGGATTTTACTATCAATTTAGGTTTTGTTTCGAAATTTGAGGATTTTTTGAAATTGGGTTAAGGAATGGAAATTAAGACTGATTGAATTTTTTTTTTTAAGAATTGAAAAGTTAGGGTTTGGCTAAAATTGATTTAGGTTAGGGTTTTAAAAAATTAATTTGGGGATTTTTAATTAAAGAAGGAAGGGAAGAAAAAGAAGGAAAGAAGAAGGAGAGCATGGACAAACCAATTCTAGTTGGTCCATGGCGAGTTTAGTCATAAGAAAATAAGAATAAAGAAAAGGAAGAGAGAAAGAGGATTCGACAAAAAGGAAGAAGAAGAAAGGAAGAAACAAAGAAGGGGAGAGGAAGAGAGAGAAGGATGAACCATTACTCGGTTCATCCATAGTGAGAGAGAGATTTGGGAGATGAGGAAGAAGAAGAAAAGGAAAAAGAAAGAAAAAGAGAGAGAATGGTTGGAGAAGGAGAGAAAGAAAAGAAATAGGGTTTTGATCAAAGATTTATTTTAAAAAGAAGTTGGATTGTTTTTTTGGGCTTGGATTTAATAAAACGACGTGGTTTGAGCTTAGCCTAACCCATGTATAATTGGGATGGACGAATTTCAGTCCAGCTCAATCCAAAAAAATAAAAATAAAAAAATTTAGAGTCGGACTGGTGTAGCCTAAACAAAAAAAAAGTGTCTTAGTTTAAAATTTTAATTTTATGCATGTTTGTTATTTCATATTTAATTTAGATTTTAAATTGTCTTTAATTATTATAATCTTGAATTTATTTTATGCATGTTTGCTAGTTTTATATTTAGATTTTAATATTTTTAAATTTTTTGTAATTATTTTAATTAATTTAATTTTAACCTTGAATTTATTTTAAGCATGTTTGTTATTAATTTTGATTTTAGTATTTGATTTTTCTTTAACGTATATAATTAATATAACTTTAATTTATTTTTTTAGTAATTAAGCTCGATAATTAAAAGGTGCGAAATTGTCGAGTCTTCTAATTTTTTTAAGGACCGATGACGACTTTCTATCTAATAAAAAAACAAAGATAAAAAAAAAAGAGAAAAGAAAAAAATAATAAAATGTTTAACAAAGTCTAATATCTACTAGAAACTGTTGTTAGCCAAAATAAATCATTTTTAACAATTACATCGATTGTGTTGAGACTTAAAGTGGATTTGATGTTTGAAAAATTTATTATGACAAGAAAATAAAGATTCAATCCGACATGACATATAAAAAAATCTAATTTTAAGTTATAATTAAAAAAATCATAAACAAGAATAAAAAATTATTTGTTAATTTTTCGAGGTTTTTATGTTACTTTATTTCTTCAATAAAATGCTATGAAAAAAATATTAAAAAAATTAAAATATATTTTTTAAAATTTTATAGTTAGATTATTATGGATTTTTTAAGAATAAATGCATAAAAAACAAATCGTGTTCTTTTAACTACAAAAATTATTAAAAAGTAAAAAAAAAAAAAGATTCAAAATTTTGATTAAAATTAATTTAATATATTTTTGTGAACTGATAGTATAAATATGTTTAACTCGATCCGTAGCGTAGTGCGGGAAGCCAACTAGTAAAGACTAAATGGAGTAGATTGTATGGTTTGTTTTTTTCTACATGAGTAGATTGTATTTTTAGTTTGGGATTAACCCTCGTTTGTTTTTAAAAAATTAAAAATATCAATAGTTAGTTGATTTAATGGCGAGTGAATTATTTACAATTACAAAAAGATGTTAAAACCTTCTTTCGAAATATTAATTTGAGTTTATGAATGTACATTATAATAGAAAATTGGAATATATAATTCCTAATTTTTATAGTAGTGGTTAGTTTAATTCTTGCTATCTAATAATGCTGACCTCTATCTAATCACTTATCTGAATTATATATATATATTCTTTGTTTCCGAAAAATAATCGTCTTCTTTTTGTTTATACATGTCCCAAAATAATTGTTTGGTCAAAATTTTAAATATTATTTTTTTTTAAAAGTACCTCTAATTAATTCTTTTTTTCATTTCTTATTTTTTATTAACTAGAAAATTAATGCTCTTTACATTTTTTTTTACACTTGCAAATATGTTTAACATAAAAAAAATTTCAAAAAAAAAAAAAAACTTTTCGTTACATGGAAATTTAGGGTTCTTTAACTATTTTTAAAAGGGCTTAATTTAACGACCTCCATGTCTTTTTAAAAAATTTGAAACTCAAATTCGGCAAGATGGAAGGATTATTTTAGAAAAAAAACTACTGTATCGCAATAATTAATATCTTTTTTAAAACGTGTAAAAAATAAAAAAACGATTTAAATGTTGGGACAAAAAAAGCAAAATATTTGGTATTGATCCGTGAATCTAAGGATATCATGATTATTAAATTCAAAATAAGAAAGTTCATCCTACCCAATATTTTATTCTAAGATTGTTATAATGCCAACATCAATAAATCATGAACACCACCATTTTTTAATCATCTTTTTTTTTCTCATTAAACAGTTTGAACAGTTGGGTTTATTGAAATCGATCAGTGGCCTTTTGAAACTGTAAAATATGATTTATATTGTTGTGCAACTATTGTTAATGTTAATATAGGAATAAAATTATCCAGAACGTAATTCTTCAAGGCCATAAATAGCCACCGAGTAGGTAAGCGGCACATGCTATTTCCCATGGCCAAGAATGAGAAATTTTAAAACACTTGATATATATTAGTTATTGAGACTGACCAAAAACAAAAAAAAAAAAAAAAATTACATTCCGACTCGTCAAAAATAATAAAAAAATTTATATCTAAACTCATTTTTTTTAATTTTTTCTTTTATTTCTATGTCCGTCTTATATTTATTTTTTACAGAATAAATTATACTAGTTACTATACAATTAATATAAAATTCACGGTCAAGAACAATCAGCAACTACAAATTTTGGCTAGTGCCTATTAATTGCTTGAATAGTTTATATCGTTTCTCCTCTCCATATCGAGTAAGTAAAGGAAAAAGAATAGTCTGGCAAGTGCAAAATCCAAAAAGCTAGACCAAAATAGGGTAAAAAAATTTAATAACGTCCGTGAATATAACAATAATAATAAAAAAAAGGAGAGAGAACAATCTATATAATCTACTGCCTTATCTCTTGGCCTTGTTTGCCTTTATATTTTTCAATATTTCTTTTTCTATCAACTAAGAAAGTCTTGTCACCCACCCAAGAAACGCAGCCCCTAGCCGGTTCCGGTTAAAGCTACATTCTGACCTTAACCTTCTCCTCTACGCCGAGTGAGATCACGTCTTTCTATTTTTGTTACTCTGATTTGCCATTTGTTTCGCTTCTCATCTACACATGTCAAAGTCTTGGTGCAAATTCACTTCAAGGCCTCCCTAATACATCAAAATAATTTTTTCATGCCGAAGTCACGACTTCTCAACTCATAGAATTAGACAAAACATAAGAAACTCACAGTTATAGTTTCTCTTTGGCTCTAGATGATCAGGTGTCTCCACTCTCTAGGGTTTCTTCGTGTTTATAGTTGTTGTTTTAGGGTTTTAGGCTTTACTTGATTTCTGGAGGGGTCGTTTGCATATCGGTTTCCACAACTGGGTTTGTTGAGAGAGATGGAGGACTATAATCAAATGAATGAAAACACAACTCCGAGGGGAAATTTCTTGTATGCTTCACAACTTCTTGCACCCAATTCCTCGCCTTATGGAAGGACTAGTAGTGGCTCTAACGTGAGCAACCAGCAGACCCAGATGCCTTTAAGCCCTTTCCATCTTCAATCAAGTGAGTGTTTCCAATCCGATGCACACCCTATAGTGAAAACTGAAGCTAGCACTTCACATCATGCTCAAAAATTTCACTACCCTCTTTTGAGAGGGCACCAAGCAATTAATCAGCAACAACAAGGATGTGAAAGCTCTGGTGAAGTTGAAGCTATCAAAGCCAAGATCATAGCCCATCCTCAGTACTCTAACCTTTTGGAAGCTTACATGGACTGCCAAAAGGTAAGTACATATATAGAAGAAAATAGTCAATTCTTAAAATTAATTTCATTTTAGTACCAGTGATCGTTTAATTAAATTCATTTTAGTAGTAGTAATTGTTTCTCTCCCTCTTACGTCTCTTGCTGCTATGATATATATGCATTTAGGTAGGAGCTTCGCCTGAAGTAGTAGCTCGGCTTGCGGCTGCTCGTCAAGAGTTTGAGTCAAGACAACGATCTTTTGTCACTTCAAGGGACAATTCGAAAGACCCAGAACTAGATCAGTTCATGGTGATTTATTGATTTTGTTACTCTACCTCTAATCGTCTCTTTATCTTGCTAATTATATTCATTTGGTTTTTGAGTTAAACACTAGTCTGTATTGTTTGAATCAATGAACAGGTAGCTTATTACGACATGCTGGTTAAGTACCGCGAGGAACTTACAAGACCTATACAAGAAGCCATGGATTTCATGCGAAGAATCGAAACTCAGCTTAATATGATCTCCAATGGTCCCTTGAGAATCTTCAATTCTGGTACTTCCTCTCTCTACTACCTATACATAGTATGCATGCCTGTAGTGATCCCAAGTAAGAATTATCGCTTTCACTAAAAAATATTTCAAGTAAGAGAGAGGGGGAGACTACAGTTTATATCACTGGGCCTTACCTATCATGGAAAGGAACAGGAGAGTCCAGTGAGTTTCGTTGTTGCAGAGATGGGTTTAATTTGGTTTTGTGCAGTACAGAAACTGACAGTCTTATTGCTCCTCGTTACTTGCTTGATCTGAGAAAAGAAAAATTTTCCTAGACCAAGCTATATGTCGGCATCTCATTCATTAATTAGGCATTATTTCCCATCCCTAGTGAAGCGTACTTTGACCAGTATCACGCCTTCCAATAGTGAGATTACAGTCACTGGTGTGCGAGTAACCCAACAGCATAAGTACTAGATTAGCAAACCCTAATCACGAGTGTATAGTAATGGGATTTGGATTTTCTTTCTATATACTAGTATCTTCCTAAATCTTCAAGAAAGCTACAAACACAAAACGCACTTACATGGTTCTGAACAACGATTATATTACGCGTTTGCTTCTCTTATGGGCTGGCTTTTTATGGGTCTGTAGTGTCTGACAAAGTTATCCTTTAAATTAGGGTTTTCTCGCCAAAACGTAGACTTGATTACTTCTAATAAATATGATTCTACAGAGGGGCTTTTTTTGGGAGAGAAGCAATTACAGACCTCGAGATAGATTGGCAGTATTACTTCTGTCATTTCCAAGTTGTTCTTTGCTTTTCTGTAAAAAATAGTATTTGATTTTGTTTTCTAAATTAAAGAACCTAGGATGCTGTTCTAATCAGTGCTACCCCATGTAGCCTGTACGGCAATGTCAGAATATATTTTCTACTTATTTTATTCAATTTTTTCCTTGTATATTTCTAATTGTCTTGTCTTTTCTTTTCTTCTTCTTTTTATTTTTTTAACACCTTCCTTTATTTCTTAAACAGATGATTAATTAATCATGGTAGTTTTACGCCAATATCACTGTTTTTTTTATAATGAACGAATCCAAGTATGCTATCATTCTTGTAATAATTATAAAGAAATCATAAAAAAATACCTTTCATTTTATCTGGAAAATAATCTGCAAAAGGAAGTGCAGGAATATTGACGGAGTAATTGATTCAGCATAAAGGAACAATAGATTTGTAAATTCTAAGCACCTTTCATTAATTTTTATTGTGTGTTTGCTCAACAATGCTTAATGGCTGGCCATAATTACATTCAGGCTTTATTTGTTAGGAGGGATGAGAGAGGGGTGCATGAGATCACTTTCTTGTTGAAACGAAGGATGGATATAACGAAGGGAAAGAATCGGTCATTTCTATCATTCTTCACTTGTGATTTAGGATCCGTTCATTTCGACTGGAATAGCTTCCATCCTCTTTTCCTATTGTTAGCCACCACCTAGCTAGGTGGGTGGGTTAGCATTTCCAACCTTTCTCCCCCAATCTGCTCCCTTTGCGTATCTTTTCTATTTACAAACAGAACTGTAGCTCTTTTTTCCCCTCCCCTCATACTTAGTATGATAATTCTAACTCTCCAGTTTTGGCCTCCTGCACAAACACATGCATGGAATTTACAAACTTATAGAGATAGAGAGGAGCTCTTTTTTATATGGCAAGTGGAAAATCTTATGCATTTAACTGAGGTATAATTATTTCAAGCATGATTTCTATGTTGCCAGGGGGTAAACATCTTCTGACACATTTCTTGATGGTCGGAAATGTTTGTTTATATCCTTCTTTTTGGATAAGGTATGGTGGGAAATTGACAAATATATATTGCCTTAAATGATGCCTCGATGACTTGCGCTAAAACCAGGTTGTGACTCCATATGTTCATATTGCTTTAAATAGATGGGGATTTTGAGTCGTATTTCTTTAAACTGATGCATTTATTTTGTAGTTTTGCAATTCATTGGTGGTTTCTACTCTCGCGTTGCTCAAACATGTTATGTCTAAGGAGGTCAAGCTGGATGTTATTGATTGTGGATTGGCTAGTGTTGAAGCTTATCGAAGTTTGATTTGGTGTCACTAGATTTCTTCTGAGCAATTTGCATCTCCCTTGACTCTCAAAAGCGAGATGTTTGGTTGTGTGTGTTTATGTTTCCCATTGTGAATTAGTAGCTATTCGCCTCAGTTTCAATTTACCATTAAAGATTACCATACAAAGTAATTAAAAATGAAAAGGCAACAAAGTTGACATGCTTTTATCAATTGTTTCTTGCTCTTCTGTCTCTTTTTCTGTAGAATACTTTTAGTGACTTACTGAATCTTTGTCGTTGGTATGATAAGCTTCTCATGGTAATGAAACTAACTGTAGTTGAGAAAATTTGAATCATAATTATAGCTAGCTACAAGGTAAAGAGACTTCATGTGATACTGCAATTTCATTAGCTTAGTTCATGATTGATATAATAGACTTTAGCACTCATTCTTTGCATAATTTTCTCTTGTTGACATAAGCTGCAATTGGCATTATAATTGTTCTACACCAACTAAAGCAAGTTCCATGAGAAATTGACATTAAGTGCGTTATCCATTTTTGTCTATCTCAAGCTTTCCTGCCTAACCCTCATTGAGTACCTGGGTTCTTGCAAATGAATTTATTTCAGCTGTTTGTGGAGCTTTGTATTTGTTTTTTTCTAAAACCGGGTGGTGCAATCCCTTACGTTTTTCTTTTCTAACTAGATTATTTGAAAATTGTCTTACAGCTGGGAAAGAACATTCCTTGTAGAAACAGTCTAGGAAGCATATTGAACTTTTGAATCTGACCGCCCTCATTTGATATGATATATAGCTTTCAACTATATACAATGTACAAGTTAGTTTCTCCATTTTCCTTTTATTATTTTCCCATGGCTCTTTGGTTATCTAACTTTTGATATACTGATGATTCCTTTTTGTTGTGAGCCTAGTGACTGTTAGATAACATGTTCCATGACCCTATTCATTATCTTTGTATTGACTTCTTTTAAAGTATGTGAACCACAAGATCTATGAAAAAAGTGAAAGAAGAGTAAGCTTAGTTGCTTCGCCTTGCTTGTAATTAAACATTGTGTAATCCACTTATTAAGTGTATCACTAGTTTCCATCAGTGTCTTTATGATTGCTGAAAGCTGTCAACAATCTACCAATGGCTAATTTTATGATTCAATGCGATCCTCCTCTTCAAATTTCATCATTGTGATGGTGGTTGTATGTCAATTTGTTTATCTTTTACCTCCTCCATTGTACTCAGATCTGCCTGTTTTTCATATTTATAGTTTCCTTGTAGCAAAAAATCTGCTTTCATTCTGTAATGGTTGTGTTGTGTGGATGTGTGATGCTTCAGATTAATGGCATAGAACCTCCTTATTTGCACCTGTCAAAATACTTGTCTTTGTTAAGTGGATTGCTAGTTGAAGCAGACAGATATCCATTGGTGGCCGCTGTTGAATCATGTTGGTATTAATTAAACATGATTCTAGTGTTCAAGTTCCAGTGACGCAAGATTGTTCTTCTTCCTTTTTCCCCCCAAGTCATCCTTTGGGCTATAGACTAGTGGTTGGAGATGAAGCATGTTGGAAGGAATGTAGAATTTCAGTTGACATGATTGCTGCAGGAAAGGATAGTGTATTCTATTTAAATAATAGAGCCGGTCAAGAAAGAAATGCATTTCCTTAGAAAAATTAAAGCAGGTTGTACGGTTGTGGCCTGGCCTCTCTCCCCTTATTTTAGTGGAGACATTTCTAAGTGCAGAAGAAAACTTGTTTAGGACTTCCACGCTTGTAAGAGAGAAGAAAATCGAAGTCAAAATGATGTCACTGAGTTTCTTCGTATATAGATGTTTTCTGCATCAAAATCATAGGAACTTGCAGTATTTTTGTTCATGATTTTATTATCTGTTTGCAGTTTGATTTTATGCTCCAGTACTTTCTTTCTTTCTTTTTTCCCTAGTTCGACAACTTATTATTTTGACATGGGGACTTTTGTTTATCAAATGCCCAGATGACAAGTCTGAAGGTGTTGGCTCGTCAGAAGAGGATCAAGACAACAGTGGAGGAGAAACTGAACTACCAGAGATAGATCCCCGTGCTGAAGACCGAGAGCTAAAGAACCACCTATTGAGGAAGTATAGTGGCTATTTAAGCAGTCTCAAGCAAGAACTTTCTAAGAAGAAGAAGAAAGGGAAGCTGCCAAAAGAAGCCAGACAGAAGTTACTCAGTTGGTGGGAGCTGCACTACAAATGGCCGTATCCTTCGGTGAGTTGATCCTCTTTAAACCTCATTTTGGCCTCAACCAATCTCTTGAAAGATCTACCCTTGATTAGTGCTACTGTAAACTCCGCATAACTGTTCAAGCACTTGATATTTCCATGAGATACATTAATGCATATTTGTGATGGCTGACAGGAGACGGAGAAGGTGGCATTGGCTGAATCAACAGGTTTGGACCAGAAACAAATAAATAATTGGTTCATTAATCAAAGGAAGCGACACTGGAAACCATCGGAAGATATGCAATTCATGGTGATGGATGGCCTACATCCACAGAATGCAGCTCTCTATATGGATGGTCACTACATGGGTGATGGTCATTATCGTCTGGGGCCGTAAGTGTCAAGCTTCATGATTTAGTCTAGTGTTAGTTTCATTTGAGGGCTAGCTAGCATGGAACTGTTATTCATGCCCAGTGGGATTAATAGCGGGACTTACGTAACGTTCTAGAAAAACTAAAACAATATTTGCTCTTTTCCTCTTTCTCATGAGAAAGGTCATAACTATGATCTTGTGTAGCTTGCCGGAATGTCATTGTGATCATTCGAGGTGGATGGCAGTTGTCATGGTTCATTGCCATTGGCTTGGAACATCCTCCTTCGGTGTTCTTAAAATCTGAAATACTAGAAGGTTTGATGGAATATTCGGCGTTCTTAAAATCTGAAATATTATAAGGTTTGATTTCTAGTGTGTAACTTGGCCGGCTGTCCGTTCGAGAGCATGTAAAGTGGAAATTAAGTATTATTAGATAAGTTGTGGCTTTGAGCATGCTTGTCCCGTATTTGCGTTCTCCAAGGACTACTAGTAGAGTAGCAGCTGTGGTGTGTATATAGTCAAAAGCAGTGAGTGAGTGTGACGAGGGGTTGAGGCGTCATCCCTTTGTTATTCTTAGTATGGTTGCTTGGGCGGTGTGAAGCATCTAAATGGCGCACTTAATTTGTACGGAATATTTTTAAATCCATCCATCTTTGAACTTACTATGAATGTCTTTTGTTGTTTAATGAGTGATAGCTTGAGCTTTTCTGTCTGTTGTTTCCCAATTATTCTTGATGGATTTTGGATACTTATGGTGGTTGTCATTGCAAGGTGTAGTATCTTTGTTCAATATATATATGTATATGCGCGCGCGCATATGTATGCATCACTCTCTCTCTCTCTCTCTCTCTACGTTATTTACAATGTAATTGCATCTAATTAACAAGTCATGTATTCGATATATCCTGAATTTGGCAGCTTTCGATCCCGGCAGTTTTCAACTTTTCATGGGTACGTGTATTTTGAGGATGGCCATCCTTCATCATCGATGGCATAAATGGGTAGTGTTGTGACAACGGCTTTCTCATATCGAGATAATAGCCGGTGCCTCATTGTTAGGCCAAAAGGCAGGCGTCAATATTTCTACGTCCTTCTTCCCTGTTTTTTTTTTTTTTTTGAGAGATGAAATGGATGATAGATATACCCAGAAAGGTTCAAATACAGAAACTAGCTAGCCTTCGAGTAAATGGCCGACTCAAGTTCCACAATAGTTAGCACAAGTAGTAAAGGATTTGACTTGAGATATGGAGGAGTTTTTGAGTAGAAGTTCCATCTTTAGATACTTCGTGTAAATAATTCTTGTAGATCAGAGTGCTAGATGTGAAGTCACTTAATAAAACAAGTAAAATGAGTTCTTGCTGAACAAATAACGATGCAACTTAATGTAAATTCCAAATCGCAGAGCAAAGGAATCTACATGTATCCTACTAATAAAAATAAAAATAAAATAAAAAATCTAATCAGAAAAAAGAAGAAGAAGTTATAGCAATGTTATGAAGTCATCTTGTTTCAAAGTATGAACAAAGTCCACTGTCTCCAGTGATTAAGTACAATTATTTGTGTCGTTAAATGTTATAATGCCCTCAAAACAATTAGTTTAGGAATGGATCTAAGCAATTATACTCTTTTCTTTCACGGAACTTTGATTGTATCTCAGAACTCTCTCACGAGAACCACACACGAAAGAATTAGAAATTTAGTTGCAGTTTTTGCATTGCAATGCATGCATGCATGGGACATGATGACGATGAACTTTAAAATCAAGGATTCGTCTATGAATTGGCAGTGAAGATAGCTGACTAGCTGAGAGAGGAAAGGATAAAACCCTAGCCTGACAAAAAGATTTAACGGTGTGAGAAACTTACGAAGAGAGAGCGTGCGAGAAGTGTAAACTTGAATTCATTGTCGCTTTGTGGTGAAACATGGCGACTAAGCAAGTTATTTACGGGCTTGGAATGGGCCAAGCTAACCGGCCAGCCAGGTTTCGTGTCAGCCCCTATTTTGAGAATTATTGGCGGAAGCCCATTCCACGCAGAGGAGGTGGGCTTCAGAATGTATAAGAACGGGCAACTTGTTTTTTCCCCTATTCGTTTCTAGGGTCCAGCTGATCACATGTTGGGCCTAACAGTCTTATATGGCGGGCCAATATCAATTGGTTTAAATCTAGATACAGTAAAAGGATTTAGTATATGTGCAAAAAGCTAACCTGGGCATATACTGGCTATTAAAACTAAAAAGGAAAATTCCAAACAATCAACAAACAAGCTTGGCTATTGGATTTCATATCGAATACGGAAATTACAATAAAAATATGGAAATTAAAGATGCATCTTAGTAACGTGGCCCAAGTACGAGTAAATTAAATATGAGTTAGCATATCATCTTCTGTATCTCATACGCATCGAGAAGACAACAAATATGCTGATTTATTGTTTAATAAAGAACTGAAAGTCGACATCAATGCCCACTATCGATTGAAATCCCTCGAAAGCAAGGGTCTCTTATATTAGGTGTAATTCTCTTTCTTTTGGGCTTAGGTTAAAAAAAAAGAAAAAGAAAAAGAAAAAAACATACCATCTCTTTATTGTCATTGTGAATAAATCCATTGATTCATCCATTCCTTCAATGTGAATATCGTATTAATTTTTTTCCCTAATTATAGAGATTTAATATTAGTATAAAAAGGCTGAATCGAGATTGTTTGACAAACAAACAAAAAATAAATACTAATATTAGATTTTTTCTTAATTTTCCGCTCTATTTTCCGGAGGGGGACCAAGTGAGATTATAAGCCTTGCGAGTCACAGGACTGACTGAATTTCTCAATCCTCTGCTGCTTCCTCTGTAATGTGAACGCAAAGGATATTAACGCTGACAGTTGATTTGCATCTTCTCATCTATTTTATGTGTGTTTGTATATACATATATATATGTAAATGTATATTGTTTGAGCTTCGGAAAGAGCCAATTTTTGTAGAGTCACAACCTGCATTATTAGTGCTAATAATTAATACAACTCCGTAAATTATAATACGCTTATTAATCAGTGGGACCATCCAGTTGAGTGGCAGTTTTGTTTGAGTGCGTGAAGCATCCCATATGCGCTACAGATGTCGTTGTCAATGTTGACGAGCCAAGAACATGGCAGCCACTTTTACCAGAAATGTAGTATTAAGTTGTGGTATTGTGGATTCCCAGTTCTTCTTAACCAAAAAGAAAAAGGAAATCCACTGCCTTTCTTAGTAAATAACAAAATTAAGCAATGGAATATCAGTTAAGCGTGCAAAAAATGGATCATTAGAGACAATTGTTGACATTGATGATGACAATTAATGAAGTTGGTATTTACTGCTGATGATGAAATAGACATGAATGTCCCCATGTTAAATGACGTTTTGACAGTGCTGTATTAATCCATCACGTTACCCCCAGGAGCCCATCCCGTCGGGTCCGGTGCAAGAATAATTAAGATGGTAGTTAGATGCGGATAAACAGAAAACCCCAGAAAAATAAAATTAAATAAAAAAGACGGAAAGAAATTATGCGCAAGCGCATAACATGTTCACAGTATAGTAGGAATCGTCCTCGAATTATATATTTTATTTGGATGAAAATTATTTCAAATCAATTTTAACACGTTTTTTTATATATTAAATTTTAATACTCATAACTTTAATGGATAAAAAAGTATTTTAAATTTTAATACTACTCATAAAAGGACAATGCTTGTCACGCAAATTAAGTATATATTAGATAGCTTCCTATGTTATGCTCCAGAACCAAAAAAAATAAATAAATAAATAAAAAATAAAAAATAAAAAATATATATATATATTTCAGTTTGATAATTAATAATATTCTGGTGGTCAACTAAAACATATAAAATTAAAGACAAAAGAAAAATTTTCATCTAATTTCATAATTTTTAGTCAAACTTTTATATTTAATTTTTTATGTTTTTCACAAATTTTGTAATTAAAAAAAAATATGATTTTTATTACTTAAAATCGGTCTTTTCAATTTTTTTGTTTCTTATAGAAATTATCATTGAATTTATTTTTTATTTATTTTTTATATAATTTTATTTGTTAGTAAATATGATTTATTTTTTCTTATGTGTGAATTTTTGAATAAGTTTTTTTAAATAAAAAATTAATTAAAAATAGAATTTACATGTTTTGTTTGCTTATCCTTTATATAATCAAAATATATTGAAATTAATTTTATATTTTTTTAATTACAATCTACTAACTTCAATATATTCCTTACGACTTAGTTTTTTTAAAATATATATATTTTTATTTATACTACACATTTGGTCCCATCAAGTATGATTATGATATATAAAAAAACGTGAAATCATTGATTTTACTGAAAATTAACTATATAGCTATACATATAATATCAACAATTTACTATTAATTTTTTAATATTATAAAATTAATTTCATAATTTTCAATTAAAATTTTGTATTTAATTTATTCTTTATAATATTTTTTATATAAATTTCACAATGTATAAATTTTATACTTTCATTTTTAAATAAAACCTGTAATAATCTAGATAAAAAATTTAATATAAAATTCAAAAAGTGTCTTAAGATTTTTTTTTTAATAAAATTACATCAAAGAAATAAAGTAATAGTTAATATAAACATTTATATAAAAAAATAACAAATGAATCTTTTTTGTTCTTGTTTAATATCGATGAGAAGATTAATTTTTTGAAAATATGTATATTTGATTTACATATATTTATTTAGAAAAAAATTAATAATATTAGTATAAAAATTGTACTTAATTTATTAGGTGGTTCTTTTAAAATATTATATTAATTATTTTATTTTAAAAAATAATTCTAAAATATTTAAAAAATTAATAGCAAATGGTTGTTGTTATGTATGTAAATACATAGCTAATTTTCAATAAAATCAATGATTCTATTTTTTTAATACATTATCATAATACTTAGTGTATTAGAATATGCAGCATAAATTGAAAAATATATATATACAAATAATTTGTAAGGAATAAATTGAAGTTAATAAACTATAATTAAAACAACTAAAAAATTGATTCGATAAATTTTGATTATATAAAAAATTAGTAGATAAAAAAACTAAACTGTATTTTTCAATTGATTATTTATTTAAAAAAAACTTATTCAAAAACTCATACATATAAAAAAATAAATTATATTTATGAATGAATAAAATTATATTAAAAAAAAGAATAAAAATTAATTCGATGAGAACTTTCATAAGAAACAAAAAATTAAAGAGATTAATTTTAAATAATAAGAGTAATATAATTCGTTATATAAGTTCATTTTAAAATATAAAAATATATCATATATATTTCATAAATACTAAAAAAATAACAATTGATTTTTCATAAGTTTCACATTTAATTCAATAAGAAAAAATAAATTGTTAAAAAAAAAAAGCAAAAAAAAAAAAATGGTAAGCATGTGTGTTTGGTCCATCTAGAGACTAAAAATATCTTTTAAAAGCATCGGAGACCGAAATAAAACACAATGTAAAATTCACATATGAATGTTAAAAAAAACTAAAAAGTATAAAAAAGCCACTGCATTGTAAAAATAAATAGTATCCATGAGTCGGGGTGTGTTTGATAACCTATTTAAGTAACTTTAAAAAATTAAGTTATGGTACTTAATATAAAAAGTTTGTTTGATAATCTAAATAATCTCATATTTAAAATTTAAATTCAATCAAAATATACTTAATTAGATAAGTTAAAGTTTTTAACTTAAATTTTTTAAAACTTTTTTAAATATGATTATGTAGGTCTCATATATTCTTATAACCCTAACTATGCGGAATCATTGAGAAATGATCTCTACTATTCTCATTATCGAAACAGAGGAGACCTTCTCCATTATCATATTTCTTCTTCTTCTTCTTCTTCTTCTTCTTTCTTTTTTTTTTTTTGGTGTCTAGTCCAAAAGCTTTTTTCATTTTTAATGGTAAGCAAAAGATCACAATAAAAAGGATAGAAAACAAAGATGATAGGCTAATCATATTCTCAAAACATAGATATGAGATCTCCAAAAAGGTTAGTGAGTTGGTGACTCTATGTGGTGTCGAGGTTGGTGTGTTAGTGTTCTCACCGACCGACATGCCTTTTTCCTATAATCATTCTTCTATAGAATCCGTTGCAAGTCCATTCCTTTGACGAACCCACCACCAAATGATAACACCCACTCTCTTGTTTAATTTTTTATTAATAATATTTTTATCAAATATTTATTTATTAATTTATCTATTTATACACATAAACATATCTATGTATATATTTTTATTTGTGTTGAAAAATATCATATTACAATTGTAAGGTTAAAATTATCACACACACACACACATATATATAACTTTAATATATTCAGCAACAATACTTATTAAACAATTTTATTATATTCAGCATTTAATTTTTAGTAAATACCAAATAGTTTATTAGCAATATATTCAGTATTTAATTATTTAACATTTAAAATTCAATACTTAACATATTCGATCCTTAATTTTCAGTCTTATCAAACACTACCTAAGTGAATAGTGTTGTAAATAGTAAAATATTCCAAATCTTTTATTTTTTTTTATAATAAGAAGTCCTAATTATTAAAAAAAAAAAAACAATCGTTTTACGTGCATATATAACATTTATACAAAATCATTCTCCTTGACAAATACATGTGGAGGTGATCATTCGAATTTTTTTTCGATTTCGATTAATAGAACCTCTAAAAAAAACATAACCAAACCTGAATTTTACTCAGTTTTTTTGTTCAAAAACTGAATTTTCTGCATGAAGATCAAAGATTGAATGAGAAAAAAATAAAAATAAAGAACATTAGGATGTTTAATTTGTCAATGACGTGGAAGATTAATTGCGTCAAGAATTTTCGGTGCAAGAAAAATCCAGGAAGCAGAGAGAGCTTGGTGTCCTTGATTATTAAAGTTTGTCTGCTCCAACCCGCAATGGAATAATGACTCGTGAGCAGACATGCTTGGTAAAAGGTGATTCACACACACACACACACGTTCTTGGAATTCGTTACTTAGCACGATCTATTAATGGCTTTTTTATGAAATGTGGATGGAAAGATAACATTAAAACCAATAAATTATAAGATAAAATTTATGAAACTATTTGATTCTGAATTTATTGATATACAGTTTTATTTTATGGACTTACATATTCAAAATTGGTAATTGTAATCTCGTATCTTCTTTTCTTGAAAGAGCAAAAAACAAGAAGAAAAAAGAAAATTGTTTGAAAATGAATTCCCAATTTCTATGTAATTATAAGCTCCTTTCTACATGTTGTTTTATGTTAATTATGATTCAAATGTAATCAAGACAAAATTTAGGTAATATTCAATTATTCATATTTTAAAAAAATCTATATCTGCATAAAAAAAAACAGATCATAATATTAGTTGTAAACCCATTGATCGAGAAGCTTTGACTCACAATAAAATCGGATTGATCATATAAAATTTTTTAAGATTAATTAGTATTTGAGACACAAGTATATCCCAAATACATGAGAGGAATTGTGAAATTTAATTTTTATGGGCCATCAAGACGCAATATCTCTTTAAAAAAAAAAAAAAAGATGAATCCTCGTATCTAAGGATTTTTAACTTCGTATTTGTTTGAATTAATCATGTGCAGTTCGGTGCATAATATTGTCGACTAACAATTAAACAAAGCCGGTCGATAGTAAATGTGTATTTGGGTGATTCCTTTCGTCAAGAAACCATATTTCTGAAGAACAAGTAATTAATATTAATTCTTTTTAACTAATAAAAACAACGTGCAAATTTAAAAAAATGTCACATGGCGGTGCGAAGGGAACAAGAGCTTTGATTCCCACACCTTCCAATATATATTTGCTCACAGCATTGTTTTTGTCCACTTTCTATCTTTCCAATTAATATCGAATAGCCACCGCATTCAACGTCCTTTGAGCGAGAAGAAATATCATGATTTTATTAGGCTTGGACAAAAACTATTTTAATTTAAAACTTTACACTATTATATGAGATTTTATAAATAATTTTATATAATTATTTAATATATTTTTTTAAATGAAAATCTTATGGTTTGAAATTTTCATAAATTTACGTTATCTTGTGCCTAATTAATTAAAAAAAATATTAAGAGTAGTGAGATTTGAATTCAAGATCATTTAATCAACAAAATTTTATTATTATGTAGAAGAACTTTTCAAATAAAAAACTTAAACTATCATGTAAGATCTCATTAATGGTTTTATACGATTTTTTAACATGACCTACGACATATATGAGGTAATTAAGATCCTCAATATATAACTCTGAGAATTACAATAGACTATAAATCAATGGGAGTTTACAAGCTTAATATTGCACAACAATATTGCATGAGATATATAGTTGGACAGCTCTTTTGGGGGCATCATATGTACTCAATTAGAATATGGAAATTAAAAAACCATTCGTCGAAATGCACCCGTAATCCTTTCATACACTACCTTCAGGCGAGGAATAATAATGTTCAAATGTACCTCCATCAACTTGCCGTAATGTTTGATGCAAATTTGAACTCAGGGTGGGATGATACTTCTCCTATACCGCATCATCTCTAAGCAGAATCAAGTTTTTATTGGAAAAAATAAAGAAAGAAAGAAACCAGTAATATTAAATCCATTGATCTGATTATCTAATTAATGGAAGCATATATATCTTAATATAAATAACCAGAGAAGAAATGAAGTTCCATGATAGAATTTTGTTAAGAATTTACAAGCACGATATACATGAAACATGGACAAAGAGAAACTCAACAAAATTATTAGTTCAATTCGGTCACTCTTAATTTATGCAAGACAGAGAAGCCTCGTATCAAAAGAATTGCCGGTGTTCTGGCCTTAGAGGTTGCCTAGCAAGCTGCGGATGAGGGGGTATAAGGATTGTAGAAATTAGGCTTCGGTCCAACTATGAAAGTGCTAGTAGAAGAGCCTTCACTTGATCCACTGCAAATCCTCTCACAAGAAGGGCACATATTGAGGGTAGCTGCAGGCAGCTGCATATATACAGGTGAAGCAAGTTTCAATGATTTAAGCTCTTGTAGCTCTTTTTGCAGCCTCTTGTTCTCTAATGTAAGTGTTTCACAACATTTCTTCAGTAATTCACAATCTACTTCAGTTTGTTTCAGCTTAGTCCTGCCAATATTAAGGGAATATATAGAATATAAGGACTAATTAATATACCAAACGTGGATCAAGAACTTGATACACAAAATTACTTTTTGATCGAGGACAAGGAAGCAAAAGACAGGAAAAGAAAAAAGCTGCGTGGTTAGACATGGAACCTGGCTCTTCTGTTCTGGAACCATACTTCCACTTGTCGTGGCCTTAGATTGAGCCGTTCTGCTAAGGCTTGCTTTTGCTTCTGATTAAATCCGAGAAAGCAATAAATTAACCATGAAAAATCGATAAATTAGATTATGATCTTAAAATCATGGATAAACGCATGACCAGAGAGAGAATATCAAAAAGATGCTAAAAAATTGTAGATATACAGGATTCAGAGTGCTGTGATCTTTGAAGCTGTCTTCTAAAATGGCTGATTGTTCTTTGGTAAGTCTAAGTTTCTTCCTGGGACTACCTTCTTCATCTTCATCACTAACCCTTGAAGAGACTCTCTCTACCTCTACTTCTTCACCAAAACCAAATTCTCTCTCCTTCTTAATACTCGAGTTAGAAAATGATGATACTGCACTAAGAGAAGAGGCCTGTGGCTGCAAATCTGCATCGCTTATTTTCGTAGCCGATTGGTACACCTCTTGTGAAGGACCTAACGTTAGAGATGGGAGCGAGTGATCATATTTCAAAGATAGTTTCTTCTTCTTTGGTTGAAAAAGATGATCTGATTGAGAACAATCCTCTTGCTTCGTATGGTAGTTGCCAAGCCCTAGACCAAGGCCTGTGTTGCAAAGGCCATCAGTAGTTCCAAAACCCATTATGTAAAAACCATTGATGTGGCCGGAGGAGCTAGAGCTAGCATTAAATATTGAAACTATATGGACGTGTATGGTAGAAATGTAAATGCAATTAAGGGGTTAGGGAAAGTGTGAATGTGCTCTTTTTGTTGGGAGAATGGATGTGGGGCTGATTATTATTTGAATGAATGAAAGGACATCAATAATATACTAGTAACGAATCTTGTTTGTGGGATTATGAAAGACTTCCCATGTCCCTTTTGTCCTCATAGCTATGTTGACCGTGGTAAAGTTTCACATCTCTTCCTTCCATTTTCTCATATATATATATATATATATATATTGTGTGTGTGGACATTTTTCTAATCATAATCTCATTCACCTCCTCATTTCATGATCTCTTAATTTGAAATTTTAAATATAACCGTCCATCAGAAGTACTATTTATGTCTCAGGTCATGAAAATATTCATGTGACAATGAACTTAATAAATCATAATATTTAAAGAGTGTTTCTAACTTATCATGAAACTATTCAATGGTAGACGTCAATGAATTTAGTAAATCGTGGTGTTTAAAAAGTGTTTTTAACTTATCAAGAGAGGAGTTTGATTCTCTTTTTTTTTGTGATATTAAAAATGAGTTATTGCTAAATTTAAATAGTTTAATTCTTAAAATCCATATAAAATCAGATATAATCCGATGCAAATTTAGCCTCAATTAACATAAAAATACTAATATTTGTGAAAAAAGAAAAAAAAGAAAAGAAAAGACAACAATTGAAAATTAGGATGGAGACCCATCAACTATGTTCTTCTGTGTACAACTAAAAGCAGACCGCCCAATTGTCCGCCACTAAATTCTTAATGAGACAGGAAAACTCTAGAACAAACTTGGTTTTTTTAATTAATTAATCTGCCTCCCTGCTCCTAACAGTTCCATACAATTTAATTAAAAGAAATTAATGGTGTGACAAATTGAGATTACTAGTTTTTTTATTATTATCAAGCGGAAAAACCAAAACCGCTTTTTTTTCCTGCTTAAAAGGCAAATGAACTTATATACTCGCTCATAATTAAAGTTGCGAATTAATTTGATTGGTTTGAGTCTGCTAATATTAATCGACTTGCTGATTTCATTAACCAAACTAGCACAATTAAAGTCACTTAATTCCATTATTTTTACATATTAATTGCCTTTTTTATCCATGTAAACTAATATATTCATACAAATTACAATTTCATGGAAGTATTTAACTGAACTTTGTGATAGCCTAAGTTCTAGCTATTATATATATGATAGCTGTTATATTTATAATATAATACATTAAGAAATGAATTTTCTACTTTCCTTTTGTGACATCCATTCAAAAACTTTCTACAATAATTTTCATATATCAACAAATATGATATACTTTTAAACTCAAGACGATTTCTTCTTCTAATTCTTTTCTTAATTATGATTTGTTTTCAATAGTTTCTTCTTTTTTCACTCAAATCCCAGAACTCATATATTTATATATATAAAAAAAAACTTGAATATTGAAATATTTATTTAGTCTTGATTAATGTTTGAATTTTAGGATATAAAGTATCGATTAAATTATGACAAGTAGTAAAATTTTCAATAAAAACTTTAGATAAAAAAAGGGTTCTTATTGTTATATGAAGGAGTACGGTAATGAGAACTAGAAGAAGATAAATATTAAAGAAGAAAAGCAAATTTAGAATAAAAGAAGAGAGTACAAGGTTAACGTTAGTATGTAAGTGAGTTATTTATTGTTTATATCTTCAAAATATTACATGAAAATTAATGCAACGCAGGGTTAAAAAGTGCGTCGCGTAAGGGGAATAGAAAATTCTCTACAGAGAAGAAGGAATTTATTATCTAATACATTAATCATGTCTTGAAATATAATATAGACTATAAGAAAACCGCAAATTAGCAACGAAAAAATCCATCACTAGTAAGTGCAAATTCATCGTTAAAAGTATTTAGCAACGAATTTACGATCGAAAAAAATCCATCGCTAAAATGCTTATCGCTAACCCTAGCGATCGACGAACGATATTCATCGCTAATTTAGCGATGATTTTTCTATCACTAAATCTCTATATTTCGTCACTAATTGATCACCAAAACTCGTCGTCTTCTCACCAAATAATTCGTTAGTATTTCGTCGCTAAATCTGTCGTCGATGAACGATTCATGTTCCATTGCTAATATCCAAAGCTAATTTTGTTGTCGCTATTCCGTCACAATTTTCGTTGCTAAATGTGAAAAAATTCCAACACTAGTTCGTCGCTAATTTCATTATTATTTTTTTAAATTGATAAAAAAAATTTATTAGTTTTTAAAACTCGTGATATTCTCGGTAGTAAATAACAATTAGAATAAACAATGTATTTTAAAAATGTTTAATTAAAATTTAAATATCAAGTGTTATTCCTATTTTGGCATTTCTAATTTCCGACCTTTTATCTCCAATTAGAAAAGGGCTAGAGAAACTTTCTAGTTATGAATCCGGTATAGAACCAATGGGCGACGCTTGGTTACAATTTTGAATCCGTTATTTATCATCTCGTTGGTTATTAGATATTGAGAGGAACAATTGAATCCTAGGTTGTGGGGGGTTGATAGGAGGAAAGCAAGTATGCTCGTAGGTCTCTCAACAACCTCATCATTATTTACATCCGACTCGTAAAGTGCTTGAATTGATTGGCTTGTTTCCGAATTGTAATCTCTATCCCCTTGATTCTATCTTTGTATTGAATAAAAACCTCCCGAATTTTATCACCGGGATACTATAAAATGACGAGAGGAGGAGTTGGTGCTCGAATGAGAGTAAAGCCGGGACGCCTATGATCGAAGGCCATATACTCTCTACTTCTTCTCCCCTCCAACAACATCCAAATATATTTTGGCCATGTTGATGTTTGGAGACAATGAATCACTCTCCTGCTACTTCTTAATAGTTGCTTCTATCAGGTGACACGATCATAAACACTCGCTAGTATAGGTGTCACAACCATAGACCTTATTGCTATCGAGCTACGACCATTGAAACTATGATCAAATCGCCCAAATGCACAAGAGATAACTATAGAATAACACCCGAAATAGTTTAACAACTATAAAAAATGAATAACAATTCGATCGAAAATATATCATTAATTGTTTTCATAAAAAACACACAAAATTTCAATAGAGTCGTCTCCTTCGATAAATTGCACATTTTTCAATTAACAAATAACCCAAATGATCACAAAAATATTGAAATTAAATCAATTAATAATCAATTTGCACACCGAGACCCACTTGAATACTTCATTGAAATTAAATCTCAAACTTGTCCTTTCATATCCATCATAGAGCATTGAACTAACCTTATTTTTTTCAATTTTCGAGGGTCTCCAACCCTTCGGGTTTGATACGCTACGGTGTATCTCGACACACTTCAACAATCATCAATAAGATAATTAAATTAATCCCAATTCAAACCTAATTAAATATTAAAGAACAAATAATTAATAATTTTAATATAAATAACATTAAAAACCAACCAATTAATAAAAATTAACCTAATTAATTTAACTCTAATTCAAATTAACCTAACCCTAATTAACAAATTAACTTAATTAATTTAATTACCGATTAATCAATAAATCAATCGATTAATTTAACTCCAATTCAAATTAACCTAAATAAATTAACTGTGATTGAAACCTAACTAATTTAACCATAATTAAAAAATTAACCTAATTAATTTAAATTGAAAGCGAGGAACCCTTTATTTTATCTTTATTTGGTGTAACTACTTGAGCTGGATGAAAAGATACCAATCAATTAACAAATTACTTTAACCGATTTAACTCTAATTCAAATTAACCTAATTAATTTAACTCTAATTCAAAGTAGCTTAACCCTAACTCAAACCTAATTAACTAATTAATTTAACCCTAAATAACAAATTAACTTAATTAATTTAAATACCAATTAATTAACTAATTAACCTAACCAATTAATAATTAAATATAAGTAAACTTAAAATTTAACCAATTAATTAGAATTAACCTAACAATTATGACAAATAACAATATTTTTTAGGAAACAAAGAGAGAGAGAACACATATCTATAGGCAATAAGGAAGAGATAGAGAGGAAAGAAGAAATTCAAGGCTTTTTAGAAAGAAAAGAGTTTGGAGTGGGTTGGGATTGCTAGGGAGTGGAGGAGTTAAGTTTTGTGGTGGTTTTAGACGGGATCGGTAACAAGGCTGGAGGAGGAAAGCGAGAGGAAGAAGAAAATGAGAGAAGAAAAGGAAATCGTGATTTAGAGATTTAAAATAAGTGATGGACGCTATTCCCTTGCTAATCCGTTGCTAACTAACAACGAACATAAATGTCTCTTGCTAATCTGTCTCGATTTGATAGAATTTGAATAAACAAAGTTTGCTCATTTTTTTAATATTAGTGATAGACATTCCATTGTCGATTTGCGAGGAAAATGTTCAATTAGAGATGAATTTTTCATCATTAAACCCGAACCAAGAAAATAGCTAATTTCCCTTGTAATTTCATCTATAAGTTGTCTCTAATATACCCATGAATATTTTATGATAAAATATAACGATAAATATAGGTCCCTCGCCGAATATCCGTCTCTAATCCGTCGGTGTTCGTAGTCGAGGTCCACAACGTATCGAACAATAGTCACAATTTATATTAACCTAATTAGTTTAACCCAAAATAACAAATTAACTTAATTAATTTAAATACCAATTAATTAACTAATTAACCTAACTAATTAATAATTAAATATAAGTAAAATTAAAATTTAACCAATTAATTAGAATTAACCTAACAATTACGACAAATAACAATATTTTTTAGGAAACAAAGAGAGAGAGAGAACACATATCTATAGGCAATAAGGAAGAGATAGAGAGGAAAGAGGAAATTCGAGGCTTTTTAGAAAGAAAAGAGTTTGGAGTGGGTTGGGGTTGTCGGCGAGTGGAGGAGTTGAGTTTTGTGGTGGTTTCATACGGGATCGGTAACAAGGTCTGGAGGAGGAAAGCGAGAGGAAGAAGAAAATGAGAGAAGAAAAAGAAACCGTGATTTAGAGATTTAAAATCGGTGATGGACGCCATTCCTTTGCTAATCTGTTGCTAACCAACGACGAATATAAATGTCTCTTGCTAATCCGTCTCCGATTTGATGGAATTTGACTAAGCAAAGTCTCGCTCATTTTTTTAATATTAGTGATGGACATTCCATTGCTAATTTGCGAGGAAAATGTTCAATTAGAGATGAATTTTTCGTCATTAAACTCGAACCAAGAAAATAGCTAATTTCTCTTGTGATTTCATCTCTAAGTCATCTTTAATATACCCATGGTCAAATATAACGATAAATATAGGTCCCTCACCGAATATCTATCTCTAATTCGTCGATGTTCTATAGCTGAGGTTCACAACGTATTGAACAATAATCACAATTTATTCGTTGAGCTATCGTTAGTTAGCAAAAAATTACAATCCATCGTTGATTTTTGTCGTTATTTTTTTATTTTCTTATAGGGTATTAATAGTAATCTTTCTTTTTTGATTTGTTTTAAACAATGTTATTAAGATACGAGCATAATGAAAAAGTAATTTATAAATGATTAGGTCATGAAAAGTTGTGTAGCAGGTATTAATTAAATAAAATTATCCAAATGCAAGCCTTCAATCATAAGTTTTCTAGCTAGGCAGCTAGCACGAGTGGATATGTAGAAATTGACTTTGACAAACTTATAGTATAAAGAATATAGTATATAATCAATATTAGCACAGGTTCAGAGGATGATTGGGAATATATAATTACGTTAGCAATAAACAATTATTCTCTTAAATAAAACATTAATGCAAACGACAAAGTAAAGCACAAAGGAAAGCTTATTAACTAAGGATTCCTTATAGCACTTATGCTGGCTCTCCTGTCATCACCTCATCTCCCATTTTGTACTTGGTTGATTGGGAAAAAAAAGGGGATACACACGGGATCGCTGATGACACACACCCTTGCTAATTCGTTCATGAAATCCGGTGCCCACGTGTCAAAACAAGAGGACGACCTGTAGCATATGATGGGAAGGGGATAGACACAAGGAGCCCACAAATGATTTGGCACGATGGGACATTCGATTCTAAAGGATAAACGATGATGATGATTTTTGGACAGTAGAAGTTGGCAATGATGGACGGTGACGGGTGGTGTTGGAGATAAGGTTTCAGATGTGTTTCCGGACTTTAAGGCTCAAGTCTACCAGTGAGGGTGTGGGATTGTGCTCTTTGCTTGGCTTTTTGCGCACCCGTTTTAATTAGGATGATAATCCATGTATTCATATTACCAAGCGTCCATATCAAGGAAGCCACCAATTTTGTCTGCATTTCTACTTCAACTTGCTTCTTGATTCTAATCTACGTTATCACTATCTACACTTTAAACAGCGTTATCATTCCCACCAACAGTTTTCACACTAATTTAATTGATAGAAAGAGAGAGGACTGATGAACAGTTTCTTTTATAATTAATTAACTAGATATAAATTTCTAGATCCGTCCTAAAATTCCTATCTCATCTCTCTTGATATGTAAACCTGAAAGTCCTCTAGTGAAAATTATGTAAGCTTTAACAGCTCGACCGAGCGTTTCCTGGGAAACAAATATTGAACGTACAGTTTTATTATCTGAAATATAAAACTACGAAGAACAACAGATACAAAGGATTATATACGTCAATGCTTTGGTTTTTCAATATACGTACTTTTGTATCTATGTTATTATCTGCATGTATTGCATGCTTATATATATAATTAGTTATTCTACGAAGATTATAAAAACTCAATTTTGTCCTTTTTTAAAAAAACAAATATTTTCAACTTAATTATTTGTCACTTCATCCCATTACCTCCAACTAAAAGAAATCAATGATATTCAATATTAATTTTTAATCTTTCATTCAATTTTCTATCCAAATTAAGTAAAATTATTTCTCCTCCATACCTTTTCTTATTCATCCAAGTAAGAGAGGGTGGAATTTTTTTCCATCCATTTCCCTCTTCCCATCACAATTTTTTTCCCAAATAAATATTTGTATCGTATATTTTACTCAGCTTTGTTGCATGCACGACCAAATTAAAGGTTTGATCATATGACTAGCTGGGTGGTATGACTTCGATCAGGGTTTGGTTGTATTGAATAATTTTGGGAGTAAGACAACAAAAATCTAGTCAGAGTAACACAATCATCCTCGATTTCCATGAGATGAGCATATCATGGCACCGACTTCTCCAAAAGCAAACCTTAGCTTACCCCACTCAAGATTGTCTTCAGTGTCTACTATTCGTGTGGGACTCAGCTTTCAAATTAATGGGAGCGAGCATCATGCATTCGTTCTTGCCTTCTAAATGCAAAGAACATGGAAAGGAAGACAGTGCCCATACTTTTAGCCTCCACTTCGCTCTCCGCGAAGGTGACTGGTTCCCTGTTATCCTTCCAGGGAGTCATAGCCTACACGATACAGGGGCCCATAAGCATACACACATGCATGTAGGAATGTAGATAACTTCTATATTTGACATGACTAGACAGTTTCGCATATATATATATATATATAATTAAATTTAGGTTACTGAAATTTAATTAAATTTAAAATCGGTGGAAGCTGAAAGGACCGTCAAAATTGCGTGTCGATTAGATGGCAGTAGGGCCCAACTGAGTTATGTTGAAGAGTGGGATGGAGCAACCATCTCATATGGGTTGTTTGATGCAACATGCCCTTGGGTGTGCATGAATGGGGGTTGTTTTTAATACAAGAATCATGATTTGAAATAGATAATAATAATAATAAGCTTCATAGTGTCCTCCAAAGACATTTTCCTTTTTTTTTTTCCTTGTTGGATATAACCAACTTCTAACTAGGCTAATAGATCCATAGGGCCCAAGTAATTCGGTTTGTTGACTAGGCCCAAAATCGTTACCTACCTTCTGTACCAAAACGGCCCTCATTCCTCATTTCCAAAATGAACTTAAGCTAACGATTCTAATCTATCAAGCGAATAAGCATATATTTTCACTTAAACAATATTTTTTAGAGTATTTAACGGCTTAAAAAAATGTTTTTTATGTAGTGAAACTTTTGACTCGTTGGATTTAAATCAGATGTCAAATAATCAGGCTAGTGTATTATAAAAGAAGCAAGTCGTTGAGAAAGTCTGTTGCATCAGTTCTTGTTATAACTTACAACCATAAAAGGCTTGAATCTCTTTTCGTGTCTTGTACGATAACATATATATGAGTAGTCGTTAATTTGAAGATTAATCGCATAAATGTTTTTCTATTTTTTATATTTATTTAATATGGTTTTTTTACTTTATTTATTTACTTATTATTATTTTATTTTATTTTTATTTTTTAATGTGGCTTCTCTTATGTGTTTTTTTTGTTTTGTCAATTTTTGAGCAAACATAACCTGTAGAAAAAAATAATATATGTCGTGACATGTCAGATTAAAATATGATGTGGCAAAAAACAAAATCAAAACAAAAATTTTTAGCTGAAAATGAAAACAAAATAAAAAAAACAAGGGATAAAAACGCATTAAGCATTTTCTCTCTCTTATATCTAAGATCAAATCAGCAACATAACCAATTAACCATTTCTTTTTTAACTGTCAACAAAGAAGAACATCATGAAGTGCAGCTCATCAAGAACTACCATTCAGTCATATTGATTTCGACAAGTTTGTGAAAATTTGATAAAAATGGATTTTTATGAACTACAGTAGTTAGAATTAACTTCACCTTCTATCCCTCTAACGTTATACCTGTCTGGAGATGCACCGTTTGATTTTGCTGACTTCACTGTTTTGTGCTGAGGTAGTCGGTGGAGAGAGAAAGAGAGAAGAGAGGGTTGTTGATGGTATTTGGGGTTGTTGTGCTGGATTTGGGAGAGAGAGAGGTGGGCGGCTTAGGTGGTAGTAACCTACTAAAAAGTCCTTCAATCTCTTTATCTGCAAAACAAATTTGTTATCAACACCAAAACACAATCTTGCATCATTATTCACACTACAATCTATTGAAATCTCTCTATTTTTACCTCCAAATCTTGCTTATCTGATGCAGCTAACCCGTTCGATGAAATATTTGAGAGACATACGGTGTCTTTTGTTACTTTGATTCAAGGTCATAGTCAGTGTTTTAGATTTTGCAATGCTTTTAGGTTGTTTTCTAAGTTACATGAAGAACGTCATGAGTTTAAATTTGTCCGTCCAATTTTCTATTGGGTTCTTGAGATTTCATTTCTTTGTTTATTTATTTTAATTTTCTGTTTGGTTCATGAGAAAATAGAAGGAAGCTATGGGTTTTGAGTTTCATTTTGATTTTTTTATGTTTTTTCAATTTTTTGTTACGTGACAATTTTATTTAACATGGCGTTACACTTGTAAATTTTTTATCACATGTTACATTTGCCTAGAAAATTGATCAGAAAACACAGAAGGACTAGAAAGAATAAGAAGAAGAGAGTAAAAATGCTATATTAATAAAATATCAAGTGTGAAAACATTTCATACTGTTAATCATTTGACTTGATTGTGTCAAATTTTCAGCGTTTTTTACTAGAAAACGCTAATTTAATAGTTAAAAACCATTCTCGTGATTGACAATATTTGGATCCTCTCAAATTAAGACAAGAAAGTAATAAATACAGACCAAGTTAGCAAAATCTAAAAGTCCAAGTAAAAAATGGAAAAGAAAACAGAGCTAATGGAAGTGCGCATTATAATTCTGATGTAGCCAGATGAAAAATAATTAATATGTCTAAGAAATTGAAACAAACAGGGGAAAAAGGGCATTGTTTTTAAACACAGCCCAACAGGAAAAGAAAAGGGGTAAAGGAATCTGAAAAATGGTTGGTTTACTTACCTCCAAACGTCATCGTATCATGTCTCCGTGTCCGTCCGTAGAGCGAGAATCATTCAGTGCCAAAGCATAACGTAACTCCTTTCTTTTCTTGATTCGGAGCTCCCAAATACACTCCAATTTTAATAACAATCTCCTCCTCCTCCTCTTCTTCTTCTCGCATACTTCGACAGCACGGAGAACAATGCTGGCTAACTGCCAACTCTTACTAACAACTTACGCATTCATCTGTGCTTCATCGTAAATCTTACTCTTCATCTCTCACGGCATTTCTTCTTCTGTAGGCTCTTAGCTCTTTAATCACAAAAAAATAAAAAATAAAAAAATTGGCATTTTATTTTGGCTTGCTTGCTTGTTTATTTATTTTTTTATGTTTAGTTAATTTATACACTTTTGTTTGCTGAAGGTAAACATATTACTCCTATCTTTTTGAAATTTCGGAGATCGATGTTCTGGTTACTTTTTTTCCCCCTTCTTAACTGTCAAGTTTTTCATTGTTAATGTTTCTCTAAGAAAATACCAAATCTGTCTTTTTCATTCTATCTCTCTCTTTTTTATATATATTTAATTATTATATATTAATTTAATGGTATATTTTATTCCTAAATTATTGTAATTATAGTAAAATAAAATTTATATTATCAATTTGAGCTATATGGATTCCAAAATATTAATTTTTATGTAAAATTTATCATCTTTCGTTACGTTTAACAATTAAAATATTGAAACTTTAATTGAAATATTTAAAACGATATCATTTTAAATATTTTGATTTTTTTTCATTGAGAATTAAAATTAAATTCAAAAAAATAAATAATAACTCATTTTTATTTTAGGAGATGGATCCATTATATATTTTAAGAATTTCATTTTTTTAATTAAAATTAATTTAAAATAAAATAATAATTCATTTTTTTCTTACCGATACATTATACATAATTAATTAATTATTTAACATTAAAAGTCAGATGTTTATTATGCCATTAAACAATTTTAGGAATGTAGAAGTATGATTAAAATGCCGTGTTTGGATGTCAGAAACTCTGACTTCTTTTTTTCCTTTCATCCAGGAAAAAAAAACTCTTTGACTTTTAAAGCTTAGCTGAATTAGAGGCTACAGCTACAGGCATAATATATGCTAGAATCAAGTTCAGTAGCGTTACATTCTTTGCTTCAATCGAGTCCTGATTGAAGGCATCATTGTTTGCCTTTGTTAGTGTCCATTAAATTACTTGAGTTGCAGAAGGAATTTGACAACTTTTTTCTTTAAAACAACTGCAGAACATCTGAATTCGATCATATTAGCAGGGATAACCTTGGATTCAATCATGTGGCAACTGACTAAATGCATATCATGAAATGTTCTGGGGATGACAAATTTTCAGATGATAACTTACAGCGATTTGGGACGATTAGATTGAATCCATTTGCCTCTATACTAAATAACGGCCAGGTTAGAATTAGTCACTTTTTTTCATTCAACCGCAATTTATGCCATGCTAGCTCTTTCGGTTCTTGATTTTATTTGATTTTTAGAGCTACTTTGCAGTATGTGTTTCATGAATACGTGGACATTGATTGTGCCATTATCCACTTTTTTTTATCACAGGGATAATTGAAGGATATAGACTTAGTTGGTGTTTGATAAAATTGAAAATTAAGTACTAAATTTATTAAATACTGAATTTTAAGTGTTAAATTTGTTAAATACTGAATATGTTCATGACAAGCTGTTTGGTATTTACTGAAAATTAAGTATCGAACATAATAAGCTCGTTTGAAGATGATAGAATATATATGATATTTTTTAAGATTTTAGTTTGAACATATGTATCCGATTATATTACTCTTATTGTTTAAAATTTATTTTTTTCAATTATTTTTTTCTTACTAAAATTCTCATGAAATTAATTTTTGATATCATTTTATTTGTTAATAAATTTGATTTTTTAATATATGAATTTTGGAATAAAATTTTATAACGTCGATGTTTTATTTTTAAAAAATATATTATTGTAATTTATATAATGAATTATTTTTATGCTTTTCAAATGAGTATTTTATTTTTCAAAATATATTATTATAATTTATAAATTCTGATATATATATATATATATATATATATATATATATATATAGAGAGAGAGAGAGAGAGAGAGAGAGAGAGAGAGAGAGTATGTTTTACATAGTTTGACTTAATCGGATAAGTTAAAAATTTTAACTTATTTGATTAAATAGATTTTAACCGAACTTAAAGTTTTAATATGAGATCATTTAAATTATCAAACAAGATTTTTATATTAAGTAGTACAACTTAATTTTTTAAGCTACTTAATTAGATTATCAAACACCCCTTAGTGTATACTATCTACCTAGTCCAAAAAAATTACACGATCGTGAATGGAAATGCTTAGATGCGAGATTTTTGTATTTGAAATCTCAAGACTTAGAGATTAAAAATCTACAATCACTCGAATAGAAATATAACGGAAAGAAAAAAAAGGACTTAGTAACTGAAGGTTTAATGGTCAATTAAACAGGAAAGAAAAATGCATTTGGGATCCTTCCATTATCTAGTATCGAGTTTGAGAATTAAAAATGTTAGTAGCATGTGGCTTTTCTCGAAATCATACTGATAAATGATTTATTATGTACCAAATGAATATTTTTAATAGATAAACTAAAGACCTAACTTGAAACATAAAACTCAATCACGCTTGCACAAATAATTAAAAATAATAATAATAACATAGTATATATATTATGTTCAACAAGAATATCAATCCGATATGGTAATTCAATTGATTGACTTATTGTTGTTTTTTCTTTTCATTTTCTTTTTTTCAAATAAACATAAATCAATCACATATTAGTTGAGCAAAGTCCAAGCTTAATATTAAAGAGCTTATAGTATAATGATAATGGTTTCATGCAATAAGAGGTCATGGATTTAAATTCTAATAAATTAATTCTGTTAAGAACCTTGAATGTATGAGTTAAATTTTTTTTTAAAAGTAACCAATCAACTTGTTTGGTTTTATTTAATCATTAGCAAATAATAAATATTTTTATTGTCCAACTCATCAATTATGATATCAACCCATACACAATTTGATTTGATGCACAAACAAAATCATATTCTAAGTGTCGTAGAGTATGCGAATTACAATGTGCAAATTTGATAACAATTATGATATCAAACCCATACATAATTTGATTAAACTTTGTTTAAAATATTATATTTAAATTAATATAAATAAGAAAAAATTGGGGTTAATAAATTAAAGTCAAGAACAAACTAGGACTGCACTTATATAAGTAAACAATAAATTAAGGGACCAAAGTGAAGGAATAAAGAAAAACAATTCAAGCTTTGGGCCTTTGGGCTTGAGCTCTCCATTTAACAAAAATGATAGTACTTGTAAACCCCTAACAAAACCAGATGTTTTAGCTTTCCTCTCTCTCTCTGATTTCCTCAGCAGCCAGCTAGGGTTTCGATCTGCTCTTCCAAATGGTACGATACTCACTCTGCTTTTTGCAAACCATTTTCATATTGATGCTGTGGAGTAAAAGTTTGCTGGTTTGTTTTTCTGTTGATATTGATGCTGTTTTTTTATGGGTCTGTTGATTTGTTTGAGAATCGAAACTTGAACATTTTCATCCTCTACGTTGTCCTTAAAATTTTGAGTTTTTTTCCTTATTTTTTTTTCTTTTTGTGTGTTTTTTTTACTGAAAAGACAGCTATTCTAGAAAAAAAAACCTGAAATTTTATTGCTGCGCTTCTTGTTGTATGAATCAAGGTGTAATTGTCTTTGATGATTTTAACATCACAGGCATGATTAAAGATGTTGGATTCTTTATAATGACAAATATATGGTTTAGAAATTAGGGAATGACGGAGGACTTTTTGGACACTGTAACGTGGTGATTCTGCAATTTTGTTACTAAGTGTCTACTGTATTGGGATGCTCCAGAAAAGCAAGTTTCTATCGTTTTTACTATACAAGTTTCAAGATGGGATTGTTTGAGAAGGAAGCATATTGCAGCGTAATGGTTAGAAGTTAAGCTAGATCATTTCATACATGAGCGTTTTGTTATTAAGATGGGGAAAGAAAATCAGTTTAATATCTAGACATGTATTAAGATGGTTTTTTTGTTCAAAAAGTGTGTGTAATAGTTGGATTTACACTTAATGACATTGTACTTGGCAGTTCCTATTGCTTTTCATATATTGCAGAAATGCTGCTCATACTTGTCAGACATATTTATTGAACATGACGTGTAAATTAAATTTCATTAAGAGTTCATGTTCTTTGGTTTATTTTTCTTATTTATTATTCACTAGCTTGTTTTTGTATTCACCACAGGCTCCCAAAAGAGGTGTGAAGGCTCCAGTAGCAACCAAGAAGAAACCTGTATGTGAACCCCGCCTCCCCCTCCTCTCTCACACACCTGCTTGAGTGCACACACTCAAGATAAGCATGTTTTAGTTGGACATTTTGAAATTTCCCCAGTGTCTAGTCTTTTAAATACCGACGGTGCTGCCTACCATATGCATTAAGGTAGTGCACCAAGTAACCTACTTATTGTTGGCTGTGAAATGGGTAGCCATCGACAACTTGCTGATTTTACTTCAACTCTCCTCTTTTCTTATGCAATTGCATTCCTGAAATTCATAAAAAGTCAAGAATGTGGTTCAGAGGGTTTGCCCATATACTAGGATCGACATGTGATTAATTGTGCTTCTGTCTGTTTTCAATTTCGGGGCTTATGTGCTATTCTTTGCAACTAAAGATTTAGTGTATTGGGCATTGATAATTACAGGAAAAAGTTGTAAACCCTTTGTTTGAGAAGCGACCAAAACAGTTTGGAATTGGTGGTGCGCTTCCACCAAAGAAGGATTTGACAAGATTTGTCAAGTGGCCTCATGTTGTTCGAATTCAGAGGCAAAGAAGGATTCTGAAACAACGTTTGAAGGTTCCACCTGCCGTTAACCAGTTCACGAAAACACTTGATAAGAACCTAGGTAAGGTTTTTATCATGCTTTGGTGTCAAAATCATTTATGCCAAGGCTCAAAATTAACATGCATTATTGTTATAAGTATTATGGTGTTCATGGTCGGACTTATTTTAAATTACAGAAACTGAATACAGTTTTTCTGGCATTGAAATGTGTTTTCCCCACCGATTGACAATTCATGTTACAGCTACACAGCTATTTAAGTTGTTGCTAAAATATAGACCTGAGGACAAGGCTGCTAAGAAGGAGAGGCTTCTTAAAAGAGCACAAGCTGAAGCTGAGGGGAAGACTGTGGAATCAAAGAAACCTATTGTTGTTAAATATGGTCTTAACCACGTTACTTACCTAATTGAGCAGGTATCGATGTTAGTTTCCTTGGTGTGAATGGCAATCTCTTCAATTCATTAGGTAACAAGGTGACAATGCATTATCTGTTGCATTGAGTAGGTAGTTTAATTGATTTATCAGGGAGTTCTTCTGGTATAATCATCATGGCTGTGTAGGAAATGATGGCTTTTGATTTGGTTGGTGTCACCTTCCTTCTCTTCTGATTTCTCTCATTTCTTTTAATTACTTGGCTGTTTTTATCTCTCTGTGTGTGTAACACCTTCCATTCAACCTTCTGTTGGATCTGGCATTTGTTATATGAATTGAATGGCAATTACGTGCATGGAATTTCCAATTCGATGCATTTCTTCACTGCGTTTTCTTATTTCTTAATTTTTTATTTTTTTCTAATATACTACTTTGATTCATGTAGAACAAGGCCCAGTTGGTGGTTATTGCACATGATGTTGATCCAATTGAGCTTGTTGTTTGGCTGCCTGCATTATGCCGGAAAATGGAGGTTCCTTATGCAATCGTGAAGGGCAAGTCGCGACTTGGAGCGGTGATTTTTCTGCACTGTTTTTCCTGCATCAGATCATCTTTTTATTCAATTTTGTTTGGAAAATGGATCCTTGCCTGTCTTTTCACTCATTTGTGTTAAAAAAAAAAAAATAGATTGTCCACAAGAAAACAGCTTCAGCTTTGTGCCTTACATCTGTGAAGAACGAGGATAAATTGGAATTTAGCAAGGTTTTGGAGGCAGTCAAGGTAATTATCTATGATGAGTGATGAAACTACATTATGATGTCATATATATTTCTTTTGAAGTCACCACACTCTAAAAAGAAAGGAAAAGAACAAGAACAATTTTTTTTCTTTTTAAAACTCAATTTTGGTTCTTCTATTGATTTCAGGCTAACTTTAATGACAAGTTTGACGAGCACCGTAAGAAATGGGGTGGTGGTATCATGGGTTCTAAATCTCTGGCCAAGACCAAAGCTAAGGAGAGAGTATTGGCCAAGGAGGCTGCACAAAGAATGTCTTGAGTTTCTAGGGAGTATGGTCAGTAGTTATGATCGGAGAGGAACTTATTATTATCATCTTTTCTTGTCTTTGTCAAGTTCTGTATTGATTGGATAGCAGAAATGGTCATCATATTATCTGTTATTTATAGTTTTGGTAGGAGAGCGAGAATCTACAGCCATTTGTTCTCTTAGACTAATCCAGTTTTTTTATTCTTTTGGTTTTGGAAGAAAAAATGTTAGGGAAAATTGCTATGCACCATTTAAATAATGTTCTCAGGTCAGGATGATAGGGTCTCCTGGCCATCCCCGAGCCTTGAAAGCTATTATGCAAGTTGTGGAGGTTAGCAAGGGCAAGTGGGAATTGCAATTTTGATGGCTCTGGAGGTTGGCAACGACAACCTGACTCGTTCGGGAACAAGATCAGAAGTTTCTGTCTGGCTCTGGGATTGAAGGGGGAAATTTGTATGGCTAACACAGCAAAAGAAACTCAAAATTTATATGGTTCGCACTGGAAGGGATGGGAATCTCAAAATTTGTTTTGGTACGATGTCTCTTTCTAGCCCGTGTAGTAGTGAATTGTGGCGTTCCTCTTTCTACCGGGACTTTACAGGATGAATTTGAACAAACTTTTGGAGTGGAAGATAATGGGTTTGTTTTCCTGGACATCAAACTACAATTAATAAGAATTGAAATAAATGTCATGTAGCAATGTCTGGGCTATTTTGTTCGGTAAAGCCACACTATGCGGTACAATGAAAAATGACTTTTTAGCTTAACCAGAGAATGGGGCCACAGACGCCAACGGAATAGGTGAGCTAACTTGTTGATCAGAACCTCCTCCTAGACATATTGATTCAGAGGGCCACAACAAGAGGTGTCCATTTCCCAATAAGTGCGGTCATGTTCAAAACCTTCCGTCACGCAAACAATTACCAAGGTTCATCTGTGCTTGTCTTTTTTCGAATTAAAAGTTTCACCCAATAATGTCAAGAGGAATAGCTTGATTGTTTGATTGGAAAGAGTTCTAATGATTTGAGTTTTTATACATGTAGATATTTTTTTGGATAATTATATTCTGTCTTTGACTAAATAAAAAGAAATTAGTCTAGATTTTTAGATTTATAATATTTTGGGAATCGAAAAAGAAAAATTTCACCCAATTAGTTTGACCGCTTGTCTTTTTCCGAATTAAAAGTCTCACCAATAAGTTTGGCCAATAATCGTGGAAAATTATTGGCTAGAAGCTCTTAGAGGTCTTTCTCTCTCCTCTTGAAAACGCCTTTTCAGCCAAAAAAAAAAAAAAAAAAAAAAAAAAAACGTCAATCTGAAATCGACAGTGACTTATAGCTAGCCACTGGATGCAAGTCTCAAATGGTTTCTCTGCTCCAGGATGACGACTTTATTGGAACAATTGGGACTGGAGTTACTGAAGAAATTGTGTTTTACAGAATGCTGGACGTGTAATCCAACTGCTGCTACTTTTACTTTACAAGCGAGAGATAAAGCCAAGAGAATTAGTAATTACTAGTAATAAATAAATACATATAAATACCAGCCCAAATTTGAAAAATTGCTAGCATTTCTTAAAAATTTTTTTTGCTGTTATGCCAGTTTCGTATTTCCATGATCCAGCCAAATTTTAGAATTCTTTTTTTTTTAAAAATGAATGAAAGGATTTTATAGATCAAAACCAACTAAAACCGAAAGAAATCCTGTCTACAAAGATTTCTTCCCAGTAATAGAATGCAAAGAAAGAAAATTAAGAAGTATGATAGAAATTCCAAATTTCACAAAACTTAGACAATCTAGCATCTGGGTGCCTCTTGAAGGTTTTATAACTCCTACGCATTCCTTTACCTTGAAATTTGAGAAGTAATGTCTTTTGTTTTTTCCTACAAAAGTTCTTATCAAAGCTAAGCAAAAGGCAACAAGAAGGCAAAATTGCTGGCAATTTTGATGCCGCTGGATGTTAGCGATGGCAACCCGACTCTTTTGGGAACAAAAAATGGAAGGTAAATGCAAGTCTGGAGGTCGCTATTTATTGAAAAAACAGGTTGTTCGCTATTTCATTATGGACTTTCTATGTCAGTGCAGAACAATTAGAATACCATATCTAAAAATAATAATTCCAAATCGGAACCACAAGATGTATATCTAGAATTTGGCAATTTTTTCATTTTCCATTCCTGTGTTTAATTTCATAAAATACTTTTCTTTTAGTTTCCTTCTTTAGTGTTTTTTTTTATTCTAAAAGAAATTATAAATAAAAAATTAAGAAAAAAACATGTTCATCAAATACAAATGTTTTAAAATAAAAAACAAGGACTTTGTTTAACTTACATTAAAAATAATAGAATAAACGGACATAAAAAAAAAAAAAAAAAACAACCTAGGTGAACCACGAGAAATCCTTATTTTTATAGCTGAGAATTTAAAAAACAATCTTGAAGATATTTTTTAGTTTTTTAGAAAAATTAAAGATAGAAAACACGTATCTAAGAAACAATTTTTATTTTTAATTAATAAACGTATAGAAAACTGAAAACATTTATGCAAACTAATAATGCAATATTAATTATGGGATGTAAGATACTATCTAGCTATGAAAAAAAAGAAAAGAAGGCTAAATGGGATAAATATAAAGGGCTTAATATTTACCCCGTCTTCAACTTAACCAAACAGAACCTTGGCAAATGTGCCCCCGAATGCCACCTGACCATCATATATCCACCAACTTATTAACTACATCAACTCGAGCAGGTCCATGATTTTGTTTACATCAAAATCTACTATGGCCACAACTACATGTGGAAGAGATAAGGAACAGCAACTGACGTGGTATTGTGACCAAAAACAACGTATCTGCTGGGATGTACATTGCCAACTCTCTCTTATCCCTCAAAAATAAAAATTATAATTTTGAGGAATCATGTTTTAAGTACACATATTCTATTACATATTTGTCACCTTCTTTTCTTTGTCCTGTTCAGCCCATACTCTAGTTATGCAAAGAAGGAACAGAATTCTCTTCATTGTCATTTTCATTTGAATACTCTCTGTGTCTCTCTCTATTATTCATTGCAAGAGTTTAGGGGATCTCAGGGGTAATAAGAATGATTCAAAGAAGTGCATGTTTACGCAATTTGGTTCAATCTTTGCAAGTTGGTTCTTTTGCGACGAAGGTTGGTCTAAATCTGACATCTTACTGTTTGATCTTTATTTTATTTATTCAGTCAAGAAAATGATACTCAGTGAGTTTTTTAAGGTGTTAATATATATATCGTAGAGGTTATTCAATATGGTCAAAGAAAGATAGACAATTAAAATTATTAGGAGTTTTATATTAATAAGCACGTACAGATACGATCAGAATTTGCAGCGTAAAACAAAGGTGCTGAAAGAAAATTGTAATAACTATATAACAGGGCTTTTAGTTAAGGAAACTGAAAATTCATTTAAAGTTTTAAAGTTTGTTCTACAAATATACCATATTGTTAGATTTAAATGTATTGGGCTCCATCAAATCTCCAGGAGCGGGCTGTGGATTCTTAGCTCTTGCTTTAATTTCCTGCGGATTAATTTCTGTTCTAAATAAATAATTCTGCGACAGCCTTTTACGATTGCTGATTACATTTAGCTTTCAATTGAGGCTATTTCTATTGTATGGTATACTGCCAGTTTGGAGTTTATTCTCGTTATGCTTCGCAGGCTGCAACTTCTCTGCAACAAGAGTGTGAACCATTTTCTCACAGCAGGTAATTGTATGTCGTATAATTTATGGTACAGAATTCCGGTCAGCTCAGTGATAAAGGTCCCTTTTTTATTTTGAAACTGGAATTAAACGAATACTACAAGACTGTCAAGGAGTTTAAGCACTTAAGTTTCGTTCTATCACTAGATTTCATAGCATAATCTTGTCTATTTGTGAGAAACCTCTGCCTAAAAAGTAATTTAGTTAGATGGTAACGTCCACTAGCAGGTTTGTGGATATTCTGCTCTATAATTAATTACTTTTCATTTAACAATGATTTGCCTTTGTCTTGTGTAGGTTTGAATGTCTAGCATTATTTAAACTTTTTGTGAAATGTAAAATAAATTTTGTTATCCTCTTCAACCACTTTATTGTCTTTTTGTTGTTGGGTGGTGGTGGTGCTTTCAGTGAAGATGAGTATGCTGATGTGGACTGGGATAATCTCGGATTTGGTCTCATGCCAACTGATTACATGTACATGATGAAATGTTCAAAAGATGGGAGTTTTGAACAAGGACAGCTTAGTCGATACGGGAACATTGAGTTGAGCCCTGCTGCAGGAGTCTTAAATTATGGACAGGCAAGCTGCACTTGAGATTGTTTTCGAAAATTTGATTAAGTTTCTAAGGTATTAAAATTTTATGAAAAAAAATTGAGCGAGACATGATTTATAACTTGGAGGTGCATACGAGTATAAGGGTAATAGAAAATTATGCTTTGAAAAAAAACAATTTTAGCTAATTTTCTGCCCCTGGAGGAGCTGGAGACTACAGAAAAAAAAATGACATGGTTCGCTTCCAAATCTGTTCAGGGACTGTTTGAAGGCACAAAAACATACAGGAAAGAAGATGGGAGCCTTCTTCTCTTTCGACCAGAACAAAATGCAATCCGCATGAAAGTTGGTGCTGAAAGGATGTGCATGCTTTCTCCCTCAATTGAACAATTTATGGATGCAGTGAAACAAACTGCGATTGCAAACAAGCGTTGGGTAATTAGCACTTAAGATGCAATCAAATTTCCGTATTTTCCAGGAAAAAAGCTCCATTTTCCCTCATTAGACCTTGTAACTTTATGTCTTGTTTTAGACAGGTTCCTCCTCCAGGGAAAGGGACTTTGTATATTCGGCCATTGCTCATGGGAAGCGGTCCCATACTGGGTTTGGCACCAGCACCGGAATATACATTCCTTACATATGCTTCCCCTGTTGGAAACTACTTCAAGGTGGGGTTTTGTTCATACTAAAACTTACCTTAGCTTTCACTTTTTGTCAGAGGGTTCATGGTATGCTCTTCAATTTCTATACAGGATGGATTTGCACCATTGAACTTGCTTGTTGAGGATGAGTATCCTCGCTCATCTTGTGGTGGAACTGGAGGCGTGAAAACAATTAGCAATTATGCCCCAGTAAGCAATTAAAAAAAAGAAGCAATTCCTTCTGTCATATAGCAAGTTGCTTCTTAGTAGTTAACTCTTAACATACCGATCTATGCCTTCTATTTCCAGGTTTTGAAAGCAATGACTAAAGCAAAGAACAGGGGATTTTCTGATGTTTTGTACCTTGATTCAGTAAATAAGAAATATATAGAGGAAGTCTCCTCTTGCAACATTTTCATCGTGACGGTGTGGTCTTAAAAACTCTCTGTTCAAGCTTTTGATCTCATAGCTAATATCTTAGGACTTCCAGTCTTTTTTAACTACTAATTTTAGTATAGAACGGTTTCCTTCATACACATGGAAAAATTGGTTCGACATAAATCTCATGTATTTTCCAATCATCTCAGGGAAACGTTATTTCAACTCCTGCTACAAATGGGACTATTCTTCCTGGAGTCACACGAAAAAGCATCATAGAGATTGCTCGTGATTATGGTTACAAGGTGACGACCATGTAACTTATAATCGTAGACTGTGAACCTTTAGTTCAATTAAGTTTATCATTTTCTCTTCTATAAAGAGTACTTTTCTTGTTTTCTTACAATGAAACTTTTTGGTATTTGCTATATATATAATATTTATTAGTTTGCAACTGTCAAGTTTCTGGCTTTGTGATCATAGAATGCCTTTAACTAAAAAATCCACTTTACCTCTTCTTCTTTGTGTTCAAGTGCATAGAAACATTTTTCGACACCACTGAAATTATATTAGATCCTGTCATCCCTCACCACATTTTCTGAATATACCCTTAATATGCTTCAGGTTGAGGAACGTTGTGTTCCGGTGGATGAATTGATCAACGCTGATGAAGTTTTCAGCACTGGAACTGCTGTAATAGTTGCGCCTGTGGGCAGTATTACATATCAAGATAAAAGGTAAATGATTACATTACATTTGTTTAACTTTTTGCCACTTGCTTTCCCAATTTATCATTATAAGTTGCATTTATGCGTTTGTACTAACAAGGCAAATCTCATAATGCTGTTTGCTAAAATAATTCATTGTGTGTCTGCAGAATTGAATTCAAAATAGGTTATGAATCCTTGTCCTGGAAGCTGCGGTCAACTCTTCTAGGAATCCAAATGGGTCTGATTGAAGATAAGAAGGGCTGGACTATTGAAATAAACTAACCTCTTCCAAACAAATGCATGTACAGAATACAGAAGTTATATTAGAGCTCCGCCTAGTTTCCTGTGAAGTGCTCGTGATGTTATGGTATTTTGTGCCATTCGCCATGCAAACTCTATCGTGTTAGGTTCTGATGAAGAAATAAAAATGAAGCTCGTGAAACTCTTCTGTATCAAAATTTAAACAAAATCATGTCAACTGCTCGCCTGTATGTAGGAATTAAGAACAACTTTCTTGCCTGGCAAAATGTAAATTTATGTTGCTAATGTCATTTCATTTTTTCTAACAGTGAGACCCAAGAAAGTCCCTATTGAATAAATAATAACTGCATTTGATAAGAAGAGCAATCCCATGTCAATATGCTCACACGCATAATTGCACAGCGGCAAGAATCTAAAAAGCTAAATTCTAAAATACCTTTATGAACTTATATACCCTTCTGAACTAAAAAAATATATGATTTTATACTTTAAACAATACGATTTTTAAAATATGTCTTTTCTATTAGGTTTTGTTGAGAAATTGATGCAAAAATCATAAAAATCCTCCCAATTCTTATCTTTTTTTCTATCAATTTAGTAAAGAAGAGAAAGGAATTGAGAGGATTTGATTTGGGAGGATTTTATAACGTAGTCTAATCGAAAAGAGTGATATGCTTGCACGCATTTTTTAAATTTGCCCTTCGATTTGGCAGAGAAGATATTTATGCTAAATGGCCTCACAAAATCTTGTCTCCCTTGGTACGAGAAAGATCACTTAAATGACTTGATAATAACTGAAGAGAGAGTCTACTATTAATTAATGGTCTTACTGGGAGCATTTTTTATCAGCCTGTCACCAAATGAAATACCAAAAAGAAGGTAGCAAGAAATAAAGATCGTTTTCAGGACACTTTTGTGAACATTGTAGGTGGGCATAAAAGATTACATTTTCCCGTTCATCAGAATATGACAGGGCATTTGTATATAATGGAAAGGGACATCAAATTTCGAAACATGGTAGGACATGAATGACCCATCACCTCATATTTGTTTTTCTTATAGCTCATTTGTTAGGCAAAGTGAAAGTGACTTTATTGAACGCCATACCTCTGAGTATGATCCAACTACTTTTGTTTTTCCCACAGATGTGGGGATTCAGATTTTACAAATATCATTTTATCATTCAAAGTTTCAGCAGTTCCTTCCAAATAATTCATTGAAATATATCCCATCATTTTTCTTTTTTTTTACACTTTTTCTTGTTCTCGTTTTACCCGACAAGAGCGAGTTGGATGCATTATTAGTTGTGGAATAGATAGTTTTATTTAATTTCTGATTGCAATATATTTATTGATCTTTTTTAATCTCAAATAATTTTCAATCCATTTTTTAAACCAATTTTAAATTAAAGCTAGCTAATTTATATTCGGTATTAATGTTTCAATCTATTCTTATATAATAATAGAATAATTTTTTCTTTATCATTATTATATCTAATTGAGTTAATCTTATTTTTTAAAATATATATTAAGTTTTTAATTTATATAAGATTTTCAAGTTAAAATATGATAATTGATCACATAATTTGCATATAAAATCTTCCATTTCTCTGGATTGTAAGAATATTTTGGAAATAAAAATTTGAGCTAAAACATCGTAATTAGTTACATAATTTGCACATAAATTTTTTTTATCTCGTTTGGATTGGAAGAACATTTTTAAAATAAAAAAATAATCACGTTTAAATTACATAATTAATTGTGGTAGTTTGACTTGAAAATCTTATCAAAGTGATCAATTAAAATTTTAATATATATTAATAATAAAAAATTAACTCAATTATAAATATAAATACATATTAAACAATTATTTTATTATACAAATACAACCGAAGCCATTAACCCCTATATCCGTAATACAAAACAAGAGCATATATATTATAGCTATATAGAGCTTCATGAGATTCACGTGATGCTTAATCTTAATAATGAATCCAATTTGATTTCTTGAACATAAATTTCAAATTCAGAAAGCTGAGCAGCACCTTCTCACCTCTATTGAGTCCAAATGCAAAACAATTATATTTGGTAAAAAAAAAAAAAAACTCAAATAAAGCGTGTAGCAAAAGCTTCTTTATTTTTTTTGTCCAAAATATTTAAAAACATGCTTTGCAAGAAAAGAACTAGAAAGAACTTTTAATAATACCAAACTGATAATAATTAAGTTTTTCTTTTTCGGACTTAAGGTTTCGATTACTGGAAGAAGGTTGTACAAATCTGTAATTTCATGAAGCCTTTGCTGGCATGGAACATGGTCAAAGGTCTGTTGGCACTGCATGTCTGAGATGGCATATTAATCCAATGTGGCTTCTCTAATTTTGTGTAACACGTGGATCCATATCCAACTTTTTTCTCTTTTTAGATCCAAACAAGGTCAGTTTGGTAGTTTTCTGAGCAGAAATTTTATAATATACAAGGAGTAATTAATGATTTGTACGATAGTTATTTTTTTAGTCGACGTTAAGGATAGAGATAGACACATAAAAAGAGAAAAAGAAAAACAGGAGAGAGAAAATAAAAAAATTTGAACGGACGTAGAAATCTTCTTATCACTTTTGGTGGATATGAATATAATTTCTCTTTTTTTGTATGTTTCTATCTCTCTCTCAAAATGGACCAAAGGACTAACTACCGTACATGCTACTTAGTTACTCCTTGTATATTATAAAATTTTTCATTTTCTAACTATTTGGTAGTCGGATTTGGACAAATTTAATAATACACCAAGAATAACTAGTGACATGTACGGTAGTTACTTCATGGGTCCATTTTGAGTAGAGATAGATATAAAAAAAAATTACATCTATACTCATCAAAAGTGATAAGAAAATTTCTAGATTCGTTTAAATTTTTTATTTTCTCTCTCTTATTTCTCTTTTTTTTCGTGTCTATCTTTCTCCTTAAAGTGAGTATGTAAAGTAATTATCATACATATTATTAATCACTTTTTATGTATTATAAAATTTATGTTAGGATTTGGTGATCCAAAACAGAGAATAGATCATTAAAAAAAAAAAGTGATGGCATATTGCGTGCTAAATTCTCTCTACAAATTTGACGCTTCTCTTGTTCTCTTTTTCACATCCAAAATATCCCTCTCCAATACTTTCAATAATTCTCCCTACTTTCGTTTATCAAAACCTCTGTTATTTTATTTATTCTGCACAACTCTGAGTCATCTCTGTATACTTCGAGAGAACATCATATACCAGCAGCGATGATTCAAAAGAGTTCTGGCTTACGCAGTTTGGTTCAATCTTTTCGACCCATCACTTCCTCTAATTTCTCGAAGGTTGGTGAACTTTTGAAATCTCTATCTTTTAATTTGATCAGCTTGATTAATTTGCCTGTGTAGAATTGATCACGATATACTGATGATTACTTGAATGAACTGATCGTAATTTGTGCATTATACGGCTTACAATCCAGTGTTTTTTTTATTGGATTTGTATTATTTTTTTAATTCACGTTCAATTTGATTGGTTTCAGATTACGTACTTAGTCTTCTTAAGAAACAGAGTTATGCCTTGGTCAATGTTTATCTTCTGATATAAAAGTCTGGTTGTTATCCAGTATGTATTCTTACATACAATATAGGAAATATATTTTTTCTCTCTCTGTTTTTTTTTTTAAATTGATTTCCTGTGGTTGGGCCAAGAGTTTTATCTGTTTGTGGGTTCTTTCAGCTTGCAGATTACAGTTGCTACGCATCACAAGCTGCATCTGCTCTTCAACAAGTGAGCAAACCAAGTTCCTACTGGTAATTAATTCCCACGTTGATATTGTTTTCAAATTATGTGCTACCTTTTGATGATGCCTTTCTTTCAAGTTGACATGGAAGTTATAACTGTATGATTCTAGTATAAGCTTTCGTTTTTGTTGTTCTGTTGTGGTGACTCTAGTGAGGATAAGTATGCCAAAGTGGACTGGGATAATCTCGGATTTGGTATCACCCCAGCTGATTACATGTACACAATGAAATGTTCGGAAGATGGAAAGTTTGAACAGGGACAGCTTGCTCCATACGGATATGTCGAATTGAGTCCGTCAGCAGGAGTCTTAAATTATGGGCAGGCAAGCTGCAATTTTAATTCCTTCTCAAAAGCTGAAATTTATTCTAGATAGTTTAGAATACTTCATATATCTCAAAAAATTTGAAGGCACAGATTATGGCACTAATAGTTTGAGGCCTATAGAATCACTTAATTGAGTAAAAAAATATATTCAGGGACTTTATGAAGGCACCAAAGCGTATAGAACAGAAGGTGGGCGCCTACTACTCTTTCGCCTGGATCAAAATGCCGCACGGATGAAGATGGGTGCTGACAGGTTGTGCATGCCTTGCCCTTCCACTTATCAATTCGTTGATGCGGTTAAACAAACTGCTCTCGCTAATAAGCGCTGGGTAATGGTCCTTTTGTTTTATTGCTATGTTGTTTATAATCAAATTTCATAAGTTTTCTAGTAGTAAAATATCATATTCCAGTATATTATACTCTATGGTTATATGGTTTTATTCTTTTTCTGATATAAGTCTATGAAAAATTTTACAGACTCCACCTCCAGGGAAAGGGACTTTGTATATTAGGCCTTTGCTCATGGGAAGTGGTCCTATTCTGGGATTAGCACCAGCACCTGAATACACATTCCTCATTTATGCTTCTCCGGTTGGCAATTATTTCAAGGTGCGGTTTCCTTTATCTAATGAAACTCCTTAATAATTTTTAACAGGTCCAGGAGTTTTTATATAAATGTTTTTCTTATATATACATACATAGGAGGGTTTGAAACCCTTGAACCTATATGTTGAGGATGACTTTCATCGAGCTGCTCGTGGAGGAGCTGGAGGGGTTAAATCCATCACAAATTATGCACCAGTAAGTGAATGCTTCTCTAAAAGAATTTATTTAAGAAAAAACGAATTATCACTCTTGAATCTGAATTTGTTTGTAGTCTTATGTTATTGTGACAACCACTGCAACTTTAATGGAATTAAGGTTTCTTTGCGACATACAATTAGGTTTTAAAAGCAATGGCCAGAGCAAAAAGCAGAGGATTTTCTGATGTTTTGTACCTTGACTCGGTCAATAAGAAATATCTAGAAGAAGTCTCTTCTTGCAACATTTTCCTTGTGAAGGTACAGTTCAAATTTATCCTTATTGGTGGTTTTTTTTTTTTTTTTTTGTGCTTTTTCTGATAGGTTATTTCCGCATCTTGTTGCCTTGATACCTAGAAGTAGCATATAAACTAGATCCTTTATCAATGTTTGCAGGGCAACATAATTTCTACTCCTGCTACAAATGGGACTATTCTTCAAGGGGTCACTCGAGGAAGCATCATTGAAATTGCTCGTGAAAATGGTTATCAGGTCACTGTTTTTATTTTATGAATGAAAGAAAATGGAAAGCTGGTTATGGAAAACTAAAAGTGCAGAGCTCAATACAGGATACACAAAAAAAGGGCTTTAGCTCAAAAAAAAAAAAATCCCTATAGTTGCCAGTTATTACAAACTTGGAAAAAACTTAGCTACATAAGACTTCGTGGAATACCTTTTGGCAATACGAACAATCCACCTGAAAATATCCCTAGCAGTGTTACGAGGAGAACTATTAAGCTTACCGTTCCTTTCTTTCCAGCTCCATAAATGGTGGAGCATCAACCCAACCTTAACACAATTGCTAGAAGACTCCTTTTCTTTTGGTAAAACAACAATTAAATCCTCCAACTATAATAATATATCAATTGAGTTTTCAAATAATAACTTTTATCAATTGAATTTCATAAAGTATTAGCCATTCTCAATTATGGACTTATATGTAAAACTGGTATAAATTTGAAGAAAATATGCCAAAGTAAACTGTATTTTTTACTGCATAATACATATATGTCGATACAATGGATTAATGAGATATGGATGAAGGGATAAAATTGAAAATCCTAGATACATTCAAGATCCAGAAGTTAATCCCCCCCCCCCCCCCCTCCCTGCATACTGTAAACCTTTAACTTAGATTCAACGTTTTCAGTTGATTGATCTAAGGGCTCGCTCTGAAATATCAAATATATAACGTGAAATTGAACCAGGTCGAGGAACGTGCTGTTCCCGTAGACGAACTGATGGATGCCGACGAAGTTTTTTGCACGGGAACTGCCGTAGGTGTTGCCCCTGTAGGCGCCATTACACATCAGAATAGGAGGTAAACAGCTACTACTTCTACCGAGCATATATACATCTGATTGCTATAGCCAGAACTGAAAAAAAGAAAATAAAGGCACATGAATGGATTTATGTGCTTCAATCTTAGGAATATCTAATAATGTTACCAATCACCGACTTTTATTAGCATATATATAACAAAATTGTGCAAATGCAGAGTTGAATACAAAGTCAAAGCAGAGTCTGTGTCTCAGGAGCTTTACTCGATTCTTGAAGGAATTAAAACGGGTGTTATTGAGGATAAGAAAGGCTGGATTCTTGAGCTTTAGTGATCACTCATCACACCGAATGCCTTCAACAGAAACGTGTACTAGAAAAAAGAATAATTATTAGTATAAATGTACAGAAAACTCTCCCTCTCTCTCTTTCTTTTTTTAAATTTCAACTTGTACTGCATATCTTTACTGTGTGTAAATATATACATTATATGTACTGTATTGCTGGGTATGGAGAATTGCTTTCATTATAATTTTTTGATCAAATTCAATGCAGATATTTTTTTCCTATAATTTATGTTTCTTTAAAATGCTATCCTTTAATCAATGACCAAATAAACTTGAATACTAAGCTAATTATATTAATCCAACTAAAATATTTTTTCCTGAATAATAACTAATTCCGAATTATCGTTGCCGCATCGGATTCTCCAGCATTAATAATAAAGTTTGGCAAGACTTTATATGGATTTGGTCATTGGCTTCCGTAAAGAGTCAAATTTTGTCCAAGCTAATAAACGTTTTTTCAATTGAGTCCAATAACTAATGACGCATTTTATGGCTTTGAGCTGTCTATAACTTTACCAATAAAGAGTTTTTAAATGTTAGCTTAATCTATTTTATCCAAAGAAAAAAAAATCTACCGTAATTTCACAGCTAAAATGAAATTAAAAAAAAAAAAAACGATAAAAATTGGAAATCGAGAAGGAGAGAAAGCATGACGGATTTACTACAGTTATGGGCCTGGACAATTAAAACTTGGATTAAATTTAGAAGCCCGTTACGAGGTCTTAGAAATTTTTTAGCCCAAGACAAGGTGGGTATGAACTCACCTAATGGATCGACATTTGACATATGGGTTCTCCGATGTTTTTCTTTTTTCTTTTTATCTTTAACGGGGCTCTTCAAAGTTATTACCGAGAGAACCAGAAACAGAAAATTACAATGGATTCCACTCAAATTGATTTGCTTATTTCTACCAACGCTCAGACGTTATCTCTTCTTCTTCTTTTTCTTTTTCTCAATTTATATCTATTTTCATACAAAATAATTACTTGAAAAATAAATAATACAAAATTTTTCATTATTACCTCCATTAAAAAGAATAAACTTAGACACTGGAAGAGAAATCTTTTCTCAGAAGACAAAGTAAATTACCTAAAAAAACTTAAGAGAAACTTGCAGATTCATTTTGCCTTGACTTATTATTTGAAATTATATATTTTTTTATCTTTTTATTTAACAAAACAAACCCTCATCGTACCTAAAGAAAGGGAAAAAAAAAAAAAAAACTTATCACGTGCATTTTAAATTCTATGATTTATCTCAATTTTAGTTTTTAAGCAAGAATAGACTATCTAAAAACCGTACGTCCAAAAGTTTTGTAGATAAACATTATAAATATCTATTTATAGTTTTTTTTTTTCAACGATCAGATATTCTATAGTTGTCATCTAAAACTAATTCATTTTTTGAATAATTTTAAAAACGCAATTTTCATACTAATCTAATGTATTTAAGAGAATAAATTTTTCTGAATAAAAATTTCGAGATTCAAAGGAAAGAATTTCAAAGGGAAAAAAAAACTTTCTATCATGTTGGTGTTAATATCTATTTATAGTGTTTTTGTTAAGTTCTAAAAATTTATGTAAATGGAGACTCATAGTATAAAATATTATGTAGAGCTAATATGATTTTCTTTTTTCTTATAATTCAACAAAAACCTAATAAGACATTACAATACAATGGTAGAATAGACATCATTACCTAATTACATAAAATTATTATGTTATATGATTTTTCTTAATTATTTTTCTATTTTATTTTTTTACTTTCCTAACAGCTTTATTTGTATTGATACATTTGCGCGAACCAATTTTTAGTCTTGCGGCAGAAGTCCTCTGGGTTTCTAATGCGTCTTGGTGCTTACAGGGTAAGGCATATTGTGTTGTCTATGCAAAAAGTGTACAACTTTTTACTGAAAAGCTCTATTTTATATTTTTAGTTTATTCATAATGATATCTTTTGGTTAACTTTTCAGCATTTTTTATTAGGTTTTAAAAATATTAATTATATGAAAATATAAATATAAACATAATTTTATTACACTGTATTAACCTCATTTGACCCATGTTTATTTTCATACAAATTTTTTTTTTAAAAAAAAAAGAAGAAATTTAAAAATTCAAAAAAAAAAAAAAAAGAACATTGCATAGTTTGTCTTTTTTTGGTATTTCTTACAATTTTTCAGGATTTTTTATTTCTTATAATTATTCCTCATTTTTTATTAAAAAAAGAAAAGAAAAGAAAAAAATTGAGGAGATGACTTGTCCCCCAAAAATCCTAAAAATCCCATATGTAACAGCTCTTTTCCTTCATTCTTAGGAAGCCTCCACAACCATTACCCTACCTTAAAATAAATAAATAAAATAAAAAATAAAAACAAAAACAAACTCTAGCCTTCACAATTATTTCATACCCCAAAAACTCTAGCCTCCATCACACATCTTTCTACCTAAAAACCACCGAAACAACTTAGCCTTCATTATTCATCTATCACAGCACAATCTAGCCAAAATACCAATCATTCTTACCCCCCCCCCCCCCCAAAAAAAAAAAAAAAACACCAAAGGGTAGAAAGTTCAAGATCCCAAAGGAAGGGAAAAAAGAAGAAGAAGAAAGAATAAGAGCTATTAAATAACCCCTAAAGGGGTCGTCGACTCGGATAGCCGACAGATCAACCTACGGATCCGTTGGCTTTTCCTTCCTTGAATCGATCATCTTTCGGTCGAAATTATTTCGATTTGCCACAATAAATAGGTTTCCCATCACTAGATCCTCCATTCCCAATTGGTTAGGGAAGAAGAAGATGCTAGAGGAGGGAGAAATTGAAGAGAGAAGGTCGACGACCAAATCCATTTGTGTACCTATAATTATCATAATTTTTCGATCAAATCAACAATCTCCACCATCACATGAGTATTCCTCATCTTCCAAGGAGTGGTTCTCCCTTAAAATCATGGTGAAACATTGTTAGAATCGACCGAATCAAATAGGAAGGTAACCGATCGACCTATTTCTTCCAAACCCCGACATATCTCCTCCAACCGATCAAATCGGACTTCCTAACCACCATAGAAACACTCCTCTCAATCTCACGAGTTGATTGTTGTCCTCGAAATCTCCTAACATGGTCAAAATCATCTTGAGGAAAAGGAGGAGATCCGGTTGAAACTTTGGAGCCTTCGATCTCCCTCCTCCGACGTCATCTATGGCCGTCACAACCACCGTTGAGTTCGTGATGATCTCTCTCTGCGATGTTGGGTGGTTCACCCTCCTAAAGGATCATCGAAAGTTGAATGAACGATCGGTAGCGATTGTTTGTCTTCCGAGGGTCAATTCTATAATTTTGCCCCTCAAGGATAGTTTGGTGATTTTGCCTTCGAAGGCATTATGGTCATTTCTAACAATATTTTAGGAGCATTTTGGTCACTCTTTAATGACCGCTTGGTTTATTTTTCTTACTTGTTTATTTTTAATTGCTTTATGATGTTATTTTGTAATAAATGTTAATTTTTTTTGTGTTAGAAAAATTAAATTATATACGCATGTTCATTTAAAAATCATCGAAAGTTGAATGAACGATCGGTAGCAACTCGTTTGTCTTCCGAGGGTCAATTCTATAATTTTGCCCCTCAAGGATAGTTTGGTGATTTTGCCTTCGGAGGCATTATGGTCATTTCTAACAATATTTTAAGAGCATTTTAGTCACTCTTTAATGACCGCTTGGTTTATTTTTCTTACTTATTTATTTTTAATTGCTTCATGATGTTATTTTGTAATAAATGTTAATTTTATTTGTGTTAGAAAAATTAAATTATATATGCATGTTCATTTAATTTAGATTTAGTATTTTGAATGTAATGAATTTGTTTAGTCAATGTCTAATTTTATGATGCATTTCAATAACTAAGTTAGATCATTAATAGGTGAATAATTATCAAGTTTCCTAATTTTTAGGGAGTGATAACGATTCTCCACCAACAAAAAAAAAAAGAAAAAAAGAGATGCTACCAAAAAAAGGAACGGTAGGAAAAGAAAAGAAAAAAAAAGGGGGAAGGGTAAACAAAAAAAAAAAAAAAAGAAAGAGGAAAACATATATATATATGCAAAGTCTCATATCTAACGGAGACTGTTGTTAGCCAAAAACAATCACATTTTAGTAATTAAATCGTTCTCCGATATATCGATTATGTCGAGACTTTTAACTAGATTTTATGTTGAACTAACGTGTCTTCCGATGAAAGGGTCCGACAATTGATTCAATATGATACCACAAGCAAAATAATAATAATAATAATTTGGTTAAGATAATAAACTTGGAAATTGACTAAGAAATATTTTGACAAAAATAAAATTTTTATGAGAAAAATTTTAGGATTAAACTAAACGTGGTACCTTTCTTAGAAAATGATGTTTTTTGATGATCGATATATTTCAAAAAATATAATTAATTTCTTATCCTAAAATCTACTGCATCAATGTCCATTTTAGATTGTTAATTCTTTCAATACTAAATAGCGACTCCGAAAATAATAACAACTCAGTGTCCTCAAATAAATAAAATTTTCAACAAAACAAATCATAACAAATAAAATTTCGAGAGTTATGTGAAAGTCCAATAGCGACGTACATTATACCCCTTTATAATTTAAATACTTAATGATAATATGAAAAATAAATTCAATTATTCTTTCAGTAACAAGCTTTAATTAGTATGGCTCTAAAAGTCTTGCACGTTTCCATTGGATTCGCTTTCGGTCCATGTCAATTGGCCATGAAAGCTCCGTTGCCAGTTTCAATTTCTCTATCAAACAAGTAAAGAACCATGCACCAACCATTAGGAAAAATCAATGAGTCCAATCATCTTATCATTAATATAATACTTCTTTTCTATTTAAAAAAAATTGTTTATCTTTTTATTTATATTTATTTAAAAATATTTATTTGATCAAAACTTTAAATAATATCTATTTTAAAAAAAATAATTTTAG